GTGTTTGGTTTTCGCCAGGCATAATGGGACCCATCTCGTCCAAAAAGTTGACTAAGATCCAGGACTAAGATCGAATTGTACTACACCGGCTCCGACGCTCGTCGGATGTGGCAGGGCTTGCAAACTATTACAGACTACAAAGGGAAGCACAGCTGCAAGCTGCCCAGTGACACGAGCCTACCAGACAAGCTAAATTACTTCTATGCTCGCTTCAAGGCAAGTAACACTGAAACATGCATGAGAGCATTAGCTGTTCCGGATGACTGTTTGATCACGCTCTCCGTAGCCGATGTGAGTAAGACTGTTAAGCAGGTCAACATTCACAAGGCCACTGGGCCAGACGGATTACCAGCACGTGTACTCCGAGCATGTGCTCACCAACTGGCAAGTGTCTTCACTGACATTTTCAACATGTCCCTGACTGAGTCTGTAATACCTACATGTTTCAAGCAGACCACCCTGTGCCCAAGAACACTAAGGTAACCTGCCTAAATGACTACCGACCTGTAGCACTCACGTCTGTAGCCATGAAGTGCTTTGAAAGGCTGGTCATGAATCACATCAACACCATTATCTGAGAAAACCTAGACCCACTCCAATTTGCATATTGCCCCAACAGATCCACAGATGATGCAATCTCTATTGCGCTCCACACTGCCCTTTCACACCTGGACAAAAGGAACACCTATGTGAGAATGCTATTCATTGACTACAGCTCAGCTTTCAACACCATAGTGCCCTCAAAGCTCATCACTAAGATAAGGACCTTGGGACTAAACACCTCCCTCTGCAACTGGATCCTGGACTTCCTGACGGGCCGCCCCCAGGTGGTAAGGGTAGGTAACAACACATCTGCCACGCTGATCCTCAACACGTGGGCCCCTCAGGGGTACTCCCTGTTCACTCATGACTGCATGGCCAGGCACGACTCCAACACCATCATTAAGTTTGCCGATGACACAACAGTGGTAGGGCTGATCACCGACAACGACGAGACAGCCTATAGGGAGGAGGTCAGAGACCTGGCCGTGTGGTGTCCACATCACCAACAAACTAACATGGTCCAAGCACACCAAGACAGTCGTGAAGAGGGCACGACAAAACCTATTCCCCCTCAGGAGACTGAAAAGATTTGACATGGGTCCTCAGATCCACAAAAGGTTCTACAGCTGCACCATCGAGAGCATCCTGACTGGTTGCATAACTGCCTGGTATGGCAACTGCTCGGCCTCCGACCGCAAGGCACTACAGAGGGTAGTGCGTACGGCCCAGTACATCACTGGAGCCAAGCTTCCTGCCATCCAGGACCTCTATACAGGAAGGCCCTAAAAATTGTCAAAGACTCCAGCCACTCTAGTCATAGACTGTTCTCTCTGCTACTGCACGGCAAGCGGTACCGGAGCCCCAAGTCTAGGTCCAAGAGGCTTCTAAACAGCTTCTACCCCCAAGCCATAAGACTCCTGAACAGCTAATCATGGCTACCCGGACTATTTGCACTGCCCCCCCACCCCATCCCCCTCTTTTGCGCTGCTACTCTCTGTTTATTATCTATGCATAGTCACTTTAACTCTACCCACATGTACATATTACCTCAATTACCTCGACTAACTGGTGCCCCGGCACTTTGACTCGGTACCGGTACCCCCTGTATATAGCCTCGCTATTGTTATTTTTACTGCTGCTCTTTAATTATTTGTTACTTTTATTTAGTATAATTTTATATAGTATTTTTTTTTTTTCTATCTTTTTACAATTATTATTTTTTTATTTTTTTGGGGGGGGTATTCTTTCTTAAAACTGCATTGTTGGTTAAGGGCTTGTAAGTAAGCATTTCACTGTAAGGTCTACACCTGTTGTATTCGGCGCATGTGACAAATACCATTTTATTTTATTTTATTTGAATGAGTACGTGTGTCCAAACTTTTGACTGGTACTGTATATGGTTTTCATTACACTCTGCTATCCTCTGGGAATACAATGGTTATCTTGCTGTATATGTCTTTACCCAAATAAATTCAATTAAATTCAAGTACAGCAATGAAGTTAAAAAGACAGCACAAACAGATCTGGAGGTTAGTCCAGGAGGTTAGTCCAGGAGGCTAGTTCAGGAGGTTAGTCCAGGAGGCTAGTTCAGGAGGTTAGTCCAGGAGGCTAGTTCAGGAGGTTAGTCCAGGAGGCTAGTTCAGGAGGTTAGTCCAGGAGGCTAGTTCAGGAGGTTAGTCCAGGAGGCTAGTCCAGGAGGCTAGTTCAGGAGGTTAGTCCAGGAGGCTAGTTCAGGAGGTTAGTCCAGGAGGCTAGTTCAGGAGGTTAGTCCAGGAGGCTAGTTCAGGAGGTTAGATCAAGAGGCTAGTCCAGGAGGCTAGTCCAGGAGGCTAGTTCAGGAGGTTAGTCCAGGAGGCTAGTCCAGGAGGCTAGTTCAGGAGGTTAGTCCAGGAGGTTAGTCCAGGAGGTTAGTCCAGGAGGCTAGTCCAGGAGGCTAGTTCAGGAGGTTAGTCCAGGAGGCTAGTTCAGGAGGCTAGTTCAGGAGGTTAGTCCAGGAGGCTAGTTCAGGAGGTTAGTCCAGGAGGCTAGTTCAGGAGGTTAGTCCAGGAGGCTAGTTCAGGAGGTTAGTCCAGGAGGTTAGTCCAGGAGGCTAGACCAGTAGGTTATTCCATGAGGTTAGTCCAGGAGGCTAGTCCTGGAGGTTAGTCCAGGAGGTTATTCCAGGAGGCTTTTCAGGAGATTAGTCCAGGAGGATAGTTCAGGAGGTTAGTCCAGGAGGCTAGTTCAGGAGGTTAGTCCAGGAGGCTAGTCAAGGAGGCTAGTCCAGGAGGTTAGTCCAGGAGGCTTGTCCAATCGGTTATTCCAGGAGGCTAGTCCAGGAGGCTAGTCCAGGAGGCTAGTCCAGGAGGCTTGTCCAGGATATTAGTCCAGGATGTTAGTCCAGGAGGCTAGTCCAGGAGGCTAGTCCAGGAGGAAAGTCCAGGAAGCTAGTCCAGGAGGCTGGTCCAGGAGGCTAGTCCAGGAGGCTAGTCCAGGAGGCTAGTCCAGGATGTTAGTTCAGGAGGATAGTCCAGGAGGCTAGTCCAGGAGGTTAGTCCAGGAGGCTAGTCCAGGAGGCTAGTCCAGGGGGCTAGTCCAGGAGGTTAGTCCAGGAGGATAGTCCAGGAGGATAGTCCAGGAGGCTAGTTCAGGAGGTTAGTCCAGGAGGCTAGTCCAGGAGCCTAGTCCAGGAGGCTGGTCAAGGAGTCTAGTCCAGGAGGCTAGTCCAGGAGGCTAGTCCAGGAGGCTGGTCCAGGAGGCTGGTCCAGGAGGTTAGTCCAGGATGCTAGTCCAGGAGGCTAGTCCAGGAGGCTGGTCCAGGAGGCTAGACCAGGAGGCTGGTCCATGAGGTTAGTCCAGAAGGCTAGTCCAGGAAGCTGGTCATTTCAGATGCAGTCCCTCGTGGTCCTCTGTAGCTCAGCTGGTAGAGCACGGCGCTTGTAACGCCAAGGTAGTGGGTTCGATCCCCGGGACCACCCATACACAAAAATGTATGCACGCATGACTGTAAGTCGCTTTGGACAAAAGCGTCTGCTAAATGGCATATTATTATTATTATTAGATGCCATTCTCTCTCTAATTTTTTTCACTCTCTGACCTTTTACCCAGGAACTTGTTGGTTCCAGAGGGGTTCCCCTCAGAGCGTCCCTGGGCCAGGTTCTATGTGAAGGTGTATAGAGCGGAGGGTCTGCCTCGTAACAACTCCTCCATCATGGCTAACGTCACCAAGGCCTTCATAGGGGAAAACACAGCCCTCATAGACCCATACGTGGTGGTGTCCTTCTTCAAACAGATGGTAACGTTTTGATAAGGAGACAGACACTCTAGTACATGATGCTACAGTAATGTTATTGATAAGGAGACAGACCACGTATATGTAAATGTAAATGTAAATGTTATTGGTAAGGCGAGAGACAGACACTTGTGCATGAGGTGTTCAGACAGCAGGACCTTACTGAAATACATCAGTTTTCACAATTCTTAGCCTGGTTCCAGATCTATTTGTGCTGTATTGTCACACGTGACTATGACCATAGGAGTTGGCAAGACAGCACCAACAGATCTGGGACCAGGCTACAAAAACAGGCCACAGACAGAAGTGTGAAAAACACTTGGCCCTAGCTACTTCATGCCTCTCTCTATGTTTTGCTGTTACAGGGCAGGACGTCCACCCAGAAGAGTACAGCAGACCCTGTGTGGAACGAGCAGATAGTGTTTACGGAGATGTTCCCTCCTCTGTGTCAGCGGCTTAAGATCCAGGTCTGGGACGAGGGCAGTATGAACGACGTGGCCATAGGAACACACTACATAGACCTGAGGAGGATCTCCAATGAACAGGACGGGGACAAAGGTCAGGAGTCATGACTGATTGATTGGTTGACTGATTGATTGGTTGACTGATTGATATCATAATGTTATAGGATGAATTATAGGATGTTTTCAAAATGGCACCCTATTCCCTATATAGTGCACTACTTTAGACCAGAGAATGGCACCCTATTCCTTATGTAGTGCACTACATTAGACCAGAGAATGGCATCCTATTCCCTATATAGTGCATTACTTTAGACCAGAGAATGGCACCCTATTCCCTATATAGTGCACTACTGTAGACCAGAGAATGGCACCCTATTCCCTATATAGTGCACTACTTTAGACCAGAGAATGGCACCCTATTCCCTATATAGTGCACTACTGTAGACCAGAGAATGGCACCCTATTCCCTATATAGTGCATTACTTTAGACCAGAGAATGGCACCCTATTCCCTATATAGTGCACTACTGTAGACCAGAGAATGGCACCCTATTCCCTATATAGTGCACTACTTTAGACCAGAGAATGGCACCCTATTCCCTATATAGTGCACTACTGTAGACCAGAGAATGGCACCCTATTCCCTATATAGTGCACTACTTTAGACCAGAGAATGGCACCCTATTCCCTATATAGTGCACTACTTTAGACCAGAGAATGGCACCCTATTCCCTATATAGTGCACTATTTCTGGCCAGAGCCCTATGAGGTGGTGCCAATAGTACTCTGGCCAAAAGTGGAGCACAAGGTGACATTTTTTTTGGGGGGGATGCAACCAAACACTAGAGTCACAGCATGTTATTATCATATCAGTATGTCATGTGTTCTAATCTCTTCCTCTGTCTCCAGGCTTCCTCCCTACCTTCGGTCCGGCCTGGGTCAACATCTACGGTTCAGCCCGTAACTTCTCTCTAGTGGATGACAACCCCGAACTGAACGAGGGGGTGGGGGAGGGGGTGTCCTGGAGAGGCAGGGTGTATCTGGAGCTGGCTGTAGAGATCCTGTCGGGTGGGGGAGGGGGAGGGGGGGAGTCTAAGCTGTCCCGGTTAGTCAAACCTCTGAAGGACGCCAAGGCAGGTAAAGCAGCAGGGAAGGACCCTAAAGGGGCTGGAGGAGGAGGAGGAGGAGGAGGAGGAGGAGGAGGAGGAGCGGGGGAGGAGGAGAAAGCCAAGGCCCTCGGGGCGGAAGTGATGCCGGTGGAGTCTCCACCTCAGGTGAGGAGAGATATAAAGAGAGGGTAATGATGGAAGATTTTTTTTGTAATGATCCTATAAAAAAACGGTTCATTATTATTGATTAGGATCCCCACTAGCTAACGCCATGACTACAGCTAATCTACTTGTGGTATATACACACATACAAAAATACATTATAGACAGAACACTCTAGTCCTATTCATTTCAATGTTGAACCTATATTGTCCTGTCCCCCCTCAGCTCAATGATGATGACAAGGACAGCTTTTTGCTGTTTGGAACGGTATTCGAGGGACACGATGATCGACAGAAAGATAGGAGACAAACCCATCAGCTTTGAGTTGTCTGTTGGTAAGTTATGCATCCATCCATTGATAAATCAATTACATAAAAGAAGAGAAGAGAAGAGAAGGAAGGAGGAGAGGAGAGGAGGGAAGAGAAGAGAAGAAGAGAGAAGAGACGAGCAGAGAGAGTAAAGGAGAAGAGAAGAGAAGGAGAAGAAGAGAAGGAGAAGAAGCGAAGAGAAAGCAGAGAAGGAGAGAGCAAGAGAAAGAACGCAGAGAGAGAGAAGAGAAGAGAAGAGAAGAGAAAGCAGAAGAGAAGAGAAGAAGGAGAGGGAGGAGGAGAGGAGAGGTAGAGGAGAAGAGAAGAGACAGAGAAGAGAAGAGGAGAGAAGAGGAAGAGAAGGAGAAGCGAAGAGAAGAGGGGAAAAGGAGAGGAAGCGGGCGGAGAGAAGAGGAGAGGAGAGGACGAGGAGCGAAGCGAGAGGGAGAGGAGAGGAGCGGAGGAGGCGAGGAGAGGGAGGAGAGCGGGGAGAGGAGAGTAGAGGCAGAGGAGAGGAGAGGAGAAAAAAGATAAAAAAAGGAGAGGAGAGGAGAGGAGAGGAGAGGCGAGAGAGGAAAGGAGCGGAGAGAGCGGAGAGGAGAGGAGAGGGAGAGGAGATGCGAGGAGAGGAGCGAAAGTGGAAAGGAGAAGAGACGAGGGGAGGAGAGGAGAGGAGAGGAGAGGAGAGGAGCGGAGAGGAGAGGAGAGGAGAGGGAGGAGGGAGAGGAGAGGAGCGGGAGAGAGAGGAGCGGCGAGGAGAGGAGAGAGGGAGCGGAGAGGAGAGAAGAAGGGGAAAGTTAGAACTCTACTCTTCATGCTCTTAATCTTCTCTTATAGTCAGTATCTGCTATTCTCTGATATTCTCTTCTATTCTCTTCGATTTGGCAAGGTATTACTCTAATCTTTATGATCTACTATGTATCTCTATTCTATTCTCTTCTATTTCTGGTCTCGTTCGTCTCGTCTAGTCTCTTCTCTTTCTATTTCGTCTCTTCCTTCTTCTCTTTATCTTATTATCTTATCTTCTCTTCTCTTCCTTCCCTCCTATACTCTCCTCTCCTCTCCTCTCCTCTCCTCTCTTCTTTTCTCTTCTCCTTTCCTCTCTTCTCTTCTCTACTCTACTCTATTCGATTATTTTATATTCCATTATTTTCTATCTTATCATATTATTTTCTACTCTATTCTATCCTTGTCTGTCTGTATGTATATATATGTGTGTGTGTGTGTGTGTGTGTGTGTGTGTGTGTGTGTAGGTAACTTTGGGAACGTCCTGGAGGTCTCCCCTCCGGTCAGCAGTAGGAGGAAGGAGGAGAAGCCAGTAGCAGAGAGGGTTTTGGAGGGTCAGGATCTTGACAGCACCCCCCTGATGGACCGCCAGGACCCCAAACCTGGCCCCTGGCAGTATCCATGCCAGTCCACCACACCCCCAGAGAAACCCCTCATAATTGATGGAAACAGGTTTTACTTTTTGGAATTGATCCTGATGTACACATAGGGTCAGTTTCCCAGACACAGATTTTAAGTCCTGGACTAGAAAGCTTTTTCCAATAGAAATCCTCCATTGATCATGCCTCTTAGTCCAGGTATGTGTCCAGAAAACTGTCCCTCAATGTCCAGAATTTGACTTAATCTGTGTCTGATAAACCAGCCCATGGAGTCTAAAGCATCAACATCAAAACGGTCGCATGTGTAGAAAACTCTGTGTCCGTGTCCAGGTATTACATGTACCTGCCCATTGAGCAGCGGAAGCCGTGTGTCCACATAATGAGCTGCTGGGAGGATCGCACCTACCGCCTGCACAGCTCTAACTTGCTGGAGAACATCGCTGTCATGTTTGTGCGTAACTTTTTTCCACTTAACATTAAATGGTTTAGACAGTGTACAATCACGGTCCTCTGTAGCTCAGCTGGTAGAGCACGGCGCTTGTAACGCCAAGGTAGTGGGTTCGATCCCCGGGACCACCCATACACAAAAAATGTATGCATGCATGACTGTAAGTCGCTTTGGATAAAAGCGTCTGCTAAATGGCATATTATTATTATATTATAGTAATACCATGTCATGGTACCATCACGTGTTTGCACCCTGTTTGAGTGATGATGTCATTGTGGTGATGTCATTGAAGAGATGTCATCATATTCCACACAGGAAGAAGGTGTGGCCAAGACAGGTGAACTGAACAAGCTGTCAGATCCAGGAACAGAAGCTCTCATGCGCCGAGTCTTTCAGGAGTTTATCACGGACGCCAGGTATGTAACGCAAACAAGACCATTAAACTGATGGTACTGACAACACTGTTGACTATCTGGTGCATACTGACAACACTGTTGACTATATGGTGCATACTGACAACACTGTTGACTATATGGTGCATACTGACAACACTGTTGACTATCTGGTGCAAACTGACAACTCTGTTGACTATATGGTGCATACTGACAACACTGTTGACTATCTGGTGCATACTGACAACACTGTTGACTATATGGTGCATACTGACAACACTGTTGACTATATGGTGCATACTGACAACACTGTTGACTATATGGTGCATACTGACAACACTGTTGACTATATGGTGCATACTGACAACACTGTTGACTATATGGTGCATACTGACAACACTGTTGACTATATGGTGCATACTGACAACACTGTTGACTATATGGTGCATACTGACAACACTGTTGACTATATGGTGCATACTGACAACACTGTTGACTATATGGTGCATACTGACAACACTGTTGACTATATGGTGCATACTGACTACACTGTTGACTATATGGTGCATACTGACAACACTGTTGACTATATGGTGCATACTGACAACACTGTTGACTATATGGTGCATACTGACAACACTGTTGACTATATGGTGCATACTGACAACACTGTTGACTATATGGTGCATACTGACAACACTGTTGACTATATGGTGCATACTGACAACACTGTTGACTATATGGTGCATACTGACAACACTGTTGACTATATGGTGCAAACTGACAACACTGTTGACTATATGGTGCAAACTGACAACACTGTTGACTATCTGGTGCAAATGTACTGGTTCTTATAGTAACTCAAACAGTGTGTGTGTATGTGTGTGTGTGTGTGTGTGTGTGTGTGTGTGTGTGTGTGTGTGTGTGTGTGTGTGTGTGTGTGTGTGTGTGTGTGTGTGTGGGTGTGTGTGTGTGTGTGTGTGTGTGTGTGTGTGTGTGTGTGTGTGTGTGTGTGATTGCTATCTCTTCTGCTTGCAGGAGCTTCATAGCCTTTGCAGAAGGGGAAGTGAGGCGGAATAATCTGACCATGTTGGATAAGAAACGCCTGACCATGTGTAAAGAGGAGCTGGTTGGTGCCCTGGCCTCTAGACCCTACCTGTAGTCCACTCTTCTGAGAGACAGAATTGTTAAATTATGATGATGATGATGATGATGATGATGTTCATTCTACAGGAGAGTATGGTCAGAGAGGCAGAAACCATCTCCGAGGGGAAGAGGAAGGCTCGCAGTATGAAGGAGACGTTGCAGGAGGCTCTAAAACTCACACGGAAACTGAGATTCTTAGTGGAAGAGGTATGCACGTCTGTTCTTGTATGTTGTCTGTGTGTGTGTGTGTGTTTGTTTATGTAAGAGCAGCATATTGACAGTGTGTATCCCTGAGATGACACTGAGCTGGTTTCTCTCCTCTCTCTCTCTACTAGAGATGACACTGAGCTGGTTTCTCTCCTCTCTCTCTCTACTAGAGATGACACTGAGCTGGTTTCTCTCCTCTCTCTCTCTACTAGAGATGACACTGAGCTGGTTTCTCTCCTCTCTCTCTCTACTAGAGATGACACTGAGCTGGTTTCTCTCCTCTCTCTCTCTACTAGAGATGACACTGAGCTGGTTTCTCCCTCCTCTCTCTCTACTAGAGATGACACTGAGCTGGTTTCTCTCCTCTCTCTCTCTACTAGAGATGACACTGGGCTGGTTTCTCTCCTCTCTCGCTCTACTAGAGATGACACTGAGCTGGTTTCTCTCCTATCTCTCTCTACTAGAGATGACACTGAGCTGGTTTCTCTCCTCTCTCTCTCCACTAGAGATGACACTGAGCTGGTTTCTCTCCTCTCTCTCTCTACTAGAGATGACACTGAGCTGGTTTCTCTCCTCTCTCTCTACTAGAGATGACACTGAGCTGGTTTCTCTCCTCTCTCTCTCTACTAGAGATGACACTGAGCTGGTTTCTCTCCTCTCTCTCTCTACTAGAGATGACACTGAGCTGGTTTCTCTCCTCTCTCTCTACTAGAGATGACACTGAGCTGGTTTCTCTCCTCTCTCTCTCTACTAGAGATGACACTGAGCTGGTTTCTCTCCTCTCTCTCTCTACTAGAGATGACACTGAGCTGGTTTCTCCCCTCTCTCTCTCTACTAGAGATGACACTGAGCTGGTTTCTCTCCTCTCTCTCTCTACTAGAGATGACACTGAGCTGGTTTCTCTCCTCTCTCTCTCTACTAGAGATGACACTGAGCTGGTTTCTCTCCTCTCTCTCTCTACTAGAGATGACACTGAGCTGGTTTCTCTCCTCTCTCTCTCCACTAGAGATGACACTGAGCTGGTTTCTCTCCTCTCTCTCTCTACTAGAGATGACACTGAGCTGGTTTCTCTCCTCTCTCTCCCTAGGGATGACATGAGCTGGTTTTCTCCTCATCTCTCTACTAGAGATGACACTGAGCTGGTTTCTCCCTCCTCTCTCTCTACTAGAGATGACACTGAGCTGGTTTCTCTCCTCTCTCTACTAGAGATGACACTGAGCTGGTTTCTCTCCTCTCTCTCTACTAGAGATGACACTGAGCTGGTTTCTCTCCTCTCTCTCTCTACTAGAGATGACACTGAGCTGGTTTCTCCCCTCTCTCTCTCTACTAGAGATGACACTGAGCTGGTTTCTCTCCTCTCTCTCTCTACTAGAGATGACACTGAGCTGGTTTCTCTCCTCTCTCTCTCTACTAGAGATGACACTGAGCTGGTTTCTCTCCTCTCTCTCTCTACTAGAGATGACACTGAGCTGGTTTCTCCCTCCTCTCTCTCTACTAGAGATGACACTGAGCTGGTTTCTCTCCTCTCTCTCTCTACTAGAGATGACACTGAGCTGGTTTCTCTACTCTCTCTCTCTACTAGAGATGACACTGAGCTGGTTTCTCTCCTCTCTCTCTCTACTAGAGATGACACTGAGCTGGTTTCTCTCCTCTCTCTCTCCACTAGAGATGACACTGAGCTGGTTTCTCTCCTCTCTCTCTCTACTAGAGATGACACTGAGCTGGTTTCTCTCCTCTCTCTCTCTCTACTAGAGATGACACTGAGCTGGTTTCTCTCCTCTCTCTCTCCACTAGAGATGACACTGAGCTGGTTTCTCTCCTCTCTCTCTACTAGAGATGACACTGAGCTGGTTTCTCTCCTCTCTCTCTCCACTAGAGATGACACTGAGCTGGTTTCTCTCCTCTCTCTCTACTAGAGATGACACTGAGCTGGTTTCTCTCCTCTCTCTCTCCACTAGAGATGACACTGAGCTGGTTTCTCTCCTCTCTCTCTACTAGAGATGACACTGAGCTGGTTTCTCTCCTCTCTCTCTCCACTAGAGATGACACTGAGCTGGTTTCTCTCCTCTCTCTCCACTAGAGATGACACTGAGCTGGTTTCTCTCCTCTCTCTCTACTAGAGATGACACTGAGCTGGTTTCTCTCCTCTCTCTCTACTAGAGATGACACTGAGCTGGTTTCTCTCCTCTCTCTCTACTAGAGATGACACTGAGCTGGTTTCTCTCCTCTCTCTCTCTATAGAGATGACACTGAGCTGGTTTCTCTCCTCTCTCTCTACTAGAGATGACACTGAGCTGGTTTCTCTCCTCTCTCTCTCTACTAGAGATGACACTGAGCTGGTTTCTCTCCTCTCTCTCTCTACTAGAGATGACACTGAGCTGGTTTCTCTCCCTCTCTCTCTCTATTAGAGATGACACTGAGCTGGTTTCTCTCCTCTCTCTCTCTACTAGAGATGACACTGAGCTGGGTTTCTCTCCTCTCTCTCTCTACTAGAGATGACACTGAGCTGGTTTCTCTCCTCTCTCTCTCTACTAGAGATGACACTGAGCTGGTTTCTCTCCTCTCTCTCTCCACTAGAGATGACACTGAGCTGGTTTCTCTCCTCTCTCTCTCCACTAGAGATGACACTGAGCTGGTTTCTCTCCTCTCTCATAATGACACGACCTGGTTTCTTCTCCTCTCTCTATCCACTAGAGATGACACTGAGCTGGTTTCTCTCCTCTCTCTCTACTAGAGATGACACTGAGCTGGTTTCTCTCCTCTCTCTCTACTAGAGATGACACTGAGCTGGTTTCTCTCCTCTCTCTCTCTACTAGAGATGACACTGAGCTGGTTTCTCTCCTCTCTCTCTACTAGAGATGACACTGAGCTGGTTTCTCTCCTCTCTCTCTACTAGAGATGACACTGAGCTGGTTTCTCTCCTCTCTCTCTACTAGAGATGACACTGAGCTGGTTTCTCTCCTCTCTCTCTCTACTAGAGATGACACTGAGCTGGTTTCTCTCCTCTCTCTCTCTACTAGAGATGACACTGAGCTGGTTTCTCTCCTCTCTCTCTCTACTAGAGATGACACTGAGCTGGTTTCTCTCCTCTCTCTCTCTACTAGAGATGACACTGAGCTGGTTTCTCTCCTCTCTCTCTCTACTAGAGATGACACTGAGCTGGTTTCTCTCCTCTCTCTCTCTACTAGAGATGACACTGAGCTGGTTTCTCCTCTCTCTCTCTACTAGAGATGACACTGAGCTGGTTTCTCTCCTCTCTCTCTCTACTAGAGATGACACTGAGCTGGTTTCTCTCCTCTCTCTCTCTACTAGCCACAGCATACCATCCCAGATGTGTTTGTGTGGATGCTGAGTAACAACAAGCGTTTGGCGTATGCCCGCATCGCTGCCCGTGACCTGCTCTACTCTGCCAGCCCTGAGGAGAGAGGCAGAGACTGTGGCAAGATCCAGACTTTATTCCTGAAGGTATGGCACCAGAAATAAAGAGACACACAGCGGTCACAGCGGTCATGGCTGTTCTGTTTTCCAACACCTCTCCATTTTGGATGTGCTTCATCTCATATTTTTTTACAAACAGGCAGGGTAGAAAGCATACTGTATTTTCCCATATAATTTAGCTCATTTACATTTGAATTCATGGGTTTTATATACCAGTTATAAGAGAAGTGATTTGCACTATGAGGACCCTGGTCAGAGTAATGTTCTATATAGTGGTTACGGCACCATTTCAAACACACGGTCTGATCATGTCCCCTCCTTTTTCTTTCCCAGCCCCCAGGGAAGCGTGTAGCAGGCTGGTCAGTTCAGGCCAAACTGGACATTTACCTGTGGCTGGGCAGCTGCAGAGAGTCCTCTCATATGCTGGATGACCTGCCTGGAGGGTTTGAACCCACAGGGGGCGCCACTAAGGAGCAGTTTCTACCCGGAAACCTACCTGTACATCTGGTATATAGAGGTACGATAGATAGATTGATTAGATAGATAGATAGATAGATAGATAGATAGATAGATAGATAGATAGATAGATAGATAGATAGATAGATAGATAGATAGATAGATAGATAGATAGATAGATAGATAGATAGATAGATAGATAGATAGATAGATAGATAGATAGATAGATAGATAGATAGATAGATAGATAGATAGATAGATAGATAGATAGATAGATAGATAGATAGATAGATAGATAGATAGATAGATAGATAGATAGATAGATAGATAGATACAGTGGGGGAAAAAAGTATTTAGTCAGCCACCAATTGTGCAAGTTTTCCTACTTAAAAAGATGAGAGGCCTGTAATTTTCATCATAGGTACACGTCAACTATGACAGACAAATTGAGAAAACAAATCTAGAAAATCACATTGCAGGATTTTTTATGAATTTATTTGCAAATTATGGTGGAAAATAAGTATTTGGTCACCTACAAACAAGCAAGATTTCTGGCTCTCACAGACCTGTAACTTCTTCTTTAAGAGGCTCCTCTGTCCTCCACTCGTTACCTGTATTAATGGCACCTGTTTGAACTTATTATCAGTATAAAAGACACCTGTCCACAACCTCAAACAGTCACACTTCAAACTCCACTATGGCCAAGACCAAAGAGCTGTCAAAGGACACCAGAAACAAAATTGTAGACCTGCACCAGGCTGGGAAGACTGAATCTGCAATAGGTAAGCAGCTTGGTTTGAATAAATCAACTGTGGGAGCAATTATTAGGAAATGGAAGACATACAAGACCACTGATAATCTCCCACGATCTGGGGCTCCACACAAGATCTCACCCCGTGGGGTCAAAATGATCACAAGAACGGTGAGCAAAAATCCCAGAACCACATGGGGGGACCTAGTGAATGACCTGCAGAGAGCTGGGACCAAAGTAACAAAGCCTACCATCAGTAACACACTACGCCGCCAGGGACTCAAATCCTGCAGTGCAACACATGTCCCCCTGCTTAAGCCAGTACATGTCCAGGCCCGTCTGAAGTTTGCTAGAGTGCATTTGGATGATCCAGAAGAGGATTGGGAGAATGTCATATGGTCAGATGAAACCAAAATATAACTTTTTGGTAAAAACTAAACTCGTCGTGTTTGGAGGACAAAGAATGCTGAGTTGCATCCAAAGAACACCATACCTACTGTGAAGCATGGGGGTGGAAACATCATGCTTTGGGGCTGTTTTTCTGCAAAGGGACCAGGACGACTGATCCGTGTAAAGGAAAGAATGAATGGGGCCATGTATCGTGAGATTTTGAGTGAAAACCTCCTTCCATCAGCAAGGTCATTGAAGATGAAACGTGGCTGGGTCTTTCAGCATGACAATGATCCCAAAAGCTTCGTAAGAAGCATTTCAAGGTCCTGGAGTGGCCTAGCCAGTCTCCAGATCTCAACCCCATAGAAAATCTTTGGAGGGAGTTGAAAGTCCGTGTTGCCCAGCGACAGCCCCAAAACATCACTGCTCTAGAGGAGATCTGCATGGAGGAATGGGCCAAAATACCAGCAACAGTGTGTGAAAACCTTGTGAAGACTTACAGAAAATGTTTGACCTGTGTCATTGCCAACAAAGGGTATATAACAAAGTATTGAGAAACTTTTGTTATTGACCAAATACTTATTTTCCACCATAATTTGCAAATAAATTCATTACAAATCCTACAATGTGATTTTCTGGATTCTTTTTTCTCATTTTGTCTGTCATAGTTGACGTGTACCTATGATGAAAATTACAGGCCTCTCTCATCTTTTTAAGTGGGAGAACTTGCACAATTGGTGGCTGACTAAATACTTTTTTCCCCCACTGTAGATGGATGGATGGATGGATGGATGGATGGATGGATGGATGGATGGATGGATGGATGGATGGATGGATGGATGGATGGATGGATGGATGGATGGATGGATGGATGGATGGATGGATGGATGGATGGATGGATGGATGGATGGATGGATGGAGAGAGAGAGAGAGAGAGAGAGAGAGAGAGAGAGAGAGAGAGAGAGAGAGAGAGAGAGAGAGGAGAGAGGAGAGAGAGAGAGAGAGCCAGAGAGAGAGAGAGACAGAGAGAGAGAGAGAGAGACAGAGAGAGAGAGAGAGAGAGACAGAGAGAGATTGATTGGGGAATAATACCCTGATTCTCCTCCCTCCAGAACAGCACCAGTTCCAGATGCGAGCCCATATGTACCAGGCCAGAGGGCTGATAGCAGCAGACTCCACAGGACTCTCAGACCCCTTCGCCAGGGTCACCTTCCTGACACACAGTCACACCACCGCCGTAAGGTCCACACAACTCTCATAGGATGGGATCTAGCTACAGAGAAGGTCCCTAGAAGAAGAGGGCTTTTGATGGGTGTAGTTCTAACCAGGATTGGGGTCAATTCCATCTGATTTCATTCAATTCAATAGATGAGCTAAGTTTCCAAGCGCTATTTACTTTGAGAATTTTTCTATTCCTGAATTGGACGTTCGATTCATTTCCTGACTTACTAAACCCCAGCCATGTTTCTAAGTACTAACTATGACCCAATCTGTGGTACTTAAGTTCTGTCTCTGACCCCCGGCCGTAGCTGTAAGTTCTCCCTGTGCCCTCTTAGATCATCAACCAGACGTTAACCCCGACCTGGAACCAGATGCTGTTGATGTCCCGGGTCACGCTGCACGGAGACCTGACACACCTGGAGCAGGAGCCACCGTGCATCGTCATCGAGGTGTATGACGACGATGCTCTGGTGAGCTAATTACCCCGCTGACGTTACGACATGCCTTCGTTTCATTAGCCTCAGTGCCAAGTCCTGTTTATGATCTCTTGTTGTTGCTCAAGCTGGCAAGAGATCAGAAACAGGCAGGCACCCGGGATATCGTTCAATCACTAGAAATGTAACGTTTAAAGGTGAAACAAATCAAAGGTGACAATATATGTTGGTTTAAAGTGAATCCCTTGAGGACAGTGACCTTCGCGGGATTGATATATAATCTTATGTTGGGACAGGCTATTCAAATTGGGTAGCTATCCCGTTGCACGTATTTATTCACCATCAGGTATCTTCTGCTTCTTTCCTCCCCAGGGCAAGGCAGAGTACCTGGGCAGCACGGTGGCAGTGCCCGTGGTGAGGGTGTCAGGGAAGCCCTACTCCACTCCCCAGCTCCACTACAGTCCTCTGTTTTGTGGGTCCCAGTCTGGAGGAGACCTGCTGGGGGCCTTTGAGCTCATACAGGTAGAACAATACCTTGGGCAATACCTTGGGTGGCTCAGTGGGTTAGAGCGTTGTGCCAGTAACCGAAAGGTCGCTGGTTCTAATCCCCGAGCCGACTAGGTGAAAAATCTGTTGATGTGCCCTTGAGCAAGGCACTTAACCCTAATTGCTCCTGTAAGTCGCTCTGGATAAGAGTGTCTGCTAAATGACTAAAAAAATATATAATAATAATAATAATAATAATAAACAAATACACTACTGGAGACTGAGGCACAAATTAAACCCTATTCCCTGTATAGTCTACAACTGGAGACTTGAGGCACAAATGACACCCTATTCCCTGTATAGTCTACAACTGGAGACTTGAGGCACAAATGACACCCTATTCCCTGTATAGTGCAATTTATATGTTTGTTTGTATTCTGTCAAGCTGAGTCGAGGGGAATTCATAGTGCAGTAAAGCTGAGACGAGGGGAATTCATAGTGCATTATATCTGAGTCGAGGGGAATTCATAGTGCAGTATATCTGAGTCGAGGGGAATTCATAGTGCAGTATATCTGAGTCGAGGGGAATTCATAGTGCAGTAAAGCTGAGACGAGGGGAATTCATAGTGCAGTATATCTGAGTCGAGGGGAATTAATAGTGCAGTATATCTGAGTCGAGGGGAATTCATAGTGCAGTAAAGCTGAGTCGAGGGGAATTCATAATGCAGTAAAGCTGAGTCGAGGGGAATTCATAATGCAGTAAAGCTGAGTCGAGGGGAATTCATAGTGCAGTAAAGCTGAGTCGAGGGGAATTCATAGTGCAGTAAAGCTGAGTCGAGGGGGATTCATAGTGCAGTAAAGCTGAGTCGAGGGGAATTCATAGTGCAGTAAAGCTGAGTCGAGGGGAATTCATTCTCTGTGATTTTCCTCTCGCTCCATGATTTTTCTCCCACCCTGTGGCTGTTTCATTGTTATTCATCTCATAGATCCCAGAGTCAGGAGAAGAGCATCTGCCTCCGCTGGACGAACCAGATGGCCATATCTACCCTGTACCTGCCAACATCAGACCTGTACTGAGCAGGTATCGATTAGAGGTGAGAGGAAGATCAACCAACCAACTAGAGCGCCGTAACTCTAGAACAGGTGGCAGGCGCATTGTTCAACTGTGTATTAGTTGGAATGGTCTGGAGTATGATATGTGTTGTGTATGTACTTTGTTTGGTTGTCCCTATGGGATATTAAAGGATTCTATTCTGGGTGTTGTAATAGTGTTCTCTATGTAATCCAGGTGTTGTTGTGGGTGTTGTAATGGTGTTCTCTATGTAATCCAGGTGTTGTTGTGGGTGTTGTAATGGTGTTCTCTATGTAATCCAGGTGTTGTTGTGGGTGTTGTAATGGTGTTCTCTATGTTATCCAGGTGTTGTTGTGGGTGTTGTAATGGTGTTCTCTATGTAATCCAGGTGTTGTTGTGGGTGTTGTAATGGTGTTATCTATGTAATCCAGGTGTTGTTGTGGGTGTTGTAATGGTGTTCTCTATGTAATCCAGGTGTTGTTGTGGGTGTTGTAATGGTGATCTCTATGTAATCCAGGTGTTGTTGTGGGTGTTGTAATGGTGTTCTCTATGTTATCCAGGTGTTGTTGTGGGTGTTGTAATGGTGTTCTCTATGTAATCCAGGTGTTGTTGTGGGTGTTGTAATGGTGTTATCTATGTAATCCAGGTGTTGTTGTGGGTGTTGTAATGGTGTTCTCTATGTAATCCAGGTGTTGTTGTGGGTGTTGTAATGGTGATCTCTATGTAATCCAGGTGTTGTTGTGGGTGTTGTAATGGTGTTCTCTATGTAATCCAGGTGTTGTTGTGGGTGTTGTAATGGTGATCTCTATGTAATCCAGGTGTTGTTGTGGGTGTTGTAATGGTGATCTCTATGTAATCCAGGTGTTGTTGTGGGTGTTGTAATGGTGATCTCTATGTAATCCAGGTGTTGTTCTGGGGCCTGAGGGAGCTGAAGAAGGTGCAGCTCCTTTCTGTGGACCGCCCCCAGGTGTTTATAGAGTGTGCTGGGAAAAGCCTGCGCTCCTCTGTCATCCAGAGCTACAAGAACAACCCTAACTTCACCACACTGGTGGACGCCTTTGACCTGGTAACTAACATGACCAACCCTAACTTCCCCACACTGGTGGACGCCTTTGACCTGGTAACTAACATATCCTTCTCCTTTTAATATTATCCAATGTCCACTTCTGCTGTTGGTCAGTCACCCTCAAGGACATCTGACCTGCTCTGACTCATCCTCAAAGACTTCAGACCTGCACCAGTGACTCGGTTAATAAAAAAGTGGTCAGATGACGCAGATGCTAAGCTACAGGACTGTTTTTTGCTAGCACAGACTGGAACATGTTCCGGGATTCTTCAGATAGCATTGAGGAGTACTCCACATCAGTCACTGGCTTCATCAATAAGTGCATCGATGATGTCGTCCCCACAGTGACCGTACGTACATACCCCAACCAGAAGCCATGGATTACAGGAAACATCCGCACTGAGCTAAAGGGTAGAGCTGCTGCTTTCAAGGAGCGGGACTCTAACCCGGACGCTTATAAGAAATCCCGCTATGCCCTCCAACGAACCATCAAACAGGCAAAGAGTCAATACAGGACTAAGATTGAACCGTACTACACCGGCTCTGACGCTCGTCGGATGTGGCAGGGCTTGAAAACTATTACAGACTACAAAGGGAAGCACAGCCGCGAGCTGCCCAGTGACACAAGACTTCCAGACGAGCTAAACCACTTCTATGCTCGCTTCGAGGCAAGCAACACTGAAGCATGCATGAGAGCACCAGCTGTTCCGGATGACTATGTGATCACGCTCTCCGTAGCCGATGTGAGTAAGACTTTTAAGCAGGTCAACATTCACAAGGCCGCAGGGCCAGATGGATTACCAGGACGTGTACTCCGAGCATGTGCTGACCAACTGGCAAGTGTCTTCACTGACATTTTCAACATGTCCCTGACTGAGTCTGTAATACCAACATGTTTCAAGCAGACCACCATAGTCCCCGTGCCCAAGGACACTAAGATAACCTGCCTAAATGACTACCGACCCGTAGCACAGACGTCTGTAGCCATGAAGTGCTTTGAAAGGCTGGTCATGGCTCACATCAACACCATTATCCCAGAAACCCTAGACCCACTCCAATTTGCATACCGCCCCAACAGATCCACAGATGATGCAATCTCTATTGCACTCCACACTGCCCTTTCCCACCTGGACAAGAGGAACACCTACGTGAGAATGATATTCATTGACTACAGCTCAGCATTCAACACCATACTGCCCTCAAAGCTCATCACTAATCTAAGGATCTTGAGACTAAACACCTCCCTCTGCAACTGGATCCTGGACTTCCTAACGGGCCGCCCCCAGGTGGTAAGGGTAGGTAACAACACATCTGCCACACTGATCCTCAACACGGGGGCCCCTCAGGGGTGCGTGCTCAGTCCCCTCCTGTATTCCCTGTTCACCCATGACTGCATGGCCAGGCACGACTCCAACACCATCATTAAGTTTGCCGACGACACAACAGTGGTAGGCCTGATCACCGACAACGATGAGACAGCCTATAGGGAGGAGGTCAGAGATCTGTCCGTGTGGTGCCAGGACAACAACCTCTCCCTCAACGTGACCAAGACAAAGGAGATGATTGTGGACTACAGGAAAAAAAAGAGGACTGAGCACGCCCCCATTCTCATCGACGGGGCTGTAGTGGAACAGGTTGAGAGCTTCAAGTTCCTTGGTGTCCACATCACCAACGAACTATCATGGTCCAAACACACCAAGACAGTCGTGAAGAGGGCACGACAAAGCCTATTCCCCCTCAGGAGACTGAAAAGATTTGGCATGGGTCCTCAGATCCTCAAAAAATTCTACAGCTGCACCATCGAGAGTATCCTGTCTGGTTGCATCACCGCCTGGTATGGCAACTGCTTGGCCTCCGACCGCAAGGCACTACAGAGGGTAGTGCGTACGGCCCAGTACATCACTGGGGCCAAGCTTCCTTCCATCCAGGACCTCTATACCAGGCGGTGTCAGAGGAAGGCCCTCAAAATTGTCAAAGACTCCAGCCACCCTAGTCATAGACTGTTCTCTCTGCTACCGCACGGCAAGCGGTACCGGAGTGCCAAGTCTAGGTCCAAAAGACTTCTCAACAGCTTCTACGCCCAAGCCTTAAGACTCCTGAACAGCTAATCATGGCTACCCAGACTATTTGCACTGCCCCCCCACCCCATCTTTTTACGCTGCTGCTACTCTGTTAATTATTTTGGCATAGTCACTTTAACTCTACCCACATGTACATATTACTTCAACTACCTCAACTAGCCGGTGCACCCGCACATTGACTCTGCACCGGTACCCCCCTGTATATATAGCCTCCCTACTGTTATTTTATTTTACTTCTGCTCTTTTTTTCTCAACACTTTTTTGTTGTTGTTTTATTTTACTTTTTTATTAAAAATAAATGCACTGTTGGATAAGGGCTGTAAGTAAGCATTTCACTGTAATGTCTGCACCTGTTGTATTCGGCGCATGTGGCCAATAAAATTTGATTTGATTTGATTTGACTTGCCTAAGTCTGTCCACTGTTAACTAGGTAGAATAGTGGACAGGTGTTAGCTGTGTCCCAAATGACACCTTATTCCCTATGTCCCATAGGGCTCTGGTTAAAAGAAGTGCACTATATAGGGAATCGGGTGCCATTTGGGAAACAGACAGAGACACATGCAGAGTTGACCTTCAACCTTTATCTCCTCCCTGTCTGTTCTTTCCCACAGGAGCTGCCTGAGAATGAGAACCTTCATCCTCCCCTGAACATCAGTGTGGTGGACTGGCGAGCCTTCGGACGCTCTACCCTCGTGGGAAACTACGTCATCAACAACCTGAAGCCCTTCAAATACACCCCTCCTCCCGCGCTGTCCACGCCAACCTCACCACGGGGACCTCACAGCAGAGAGGGTAAAAGTCAAATCCTATCCTACCACCACAATGTGTCTGGAGAGAAAACACTATCTACCCAAAAGCAAAACTGCGAAAAAGTGATTGAAAAGATGTCATAATGACAAACAGTTTCTTTTTCAACCAGTTTTATCCGCTGGGATAGCGACTGTTGTACAGGACTTTCAGGTGGTGCTGTTTTACCGACTGTTGAACAGGACTTTCAGGTGGTGCTGTTTTACCGACTGTTGAACAGGACTTTCAGGTGGTGCTGTTTTACCGACTGTTGAACAGGACTTTCAGGTGGTGCTGTTTTACCAACTGTTGAACAGGACTTTCAGGTGGTGCTGTTTTACCGACTGTTGAACAGGACTTTCAGGTGGTGCTGTTTTACCGACTGTTGAACAGGACTTTCAGGTGGTGCTGTTTTACCAACTGTTGAACAGGACTTTCAGGTGGTGCTGTTTTACTGACTGTTGAACAGGACTTTCAGGTAGTGCTGTTTTACCGACTGTTGAACAGGACTTTCAGGTGGTGCTGTTTTACCGACTGTTGAACAGGACTTTCAGGTGGTGCTGTTTTACCGACTGTTGAACAGGACTTTCAGGTGGTGCTGTTTTACCAACTGTTGAACAGGACTTTCAGGTGGTGCTGTTTTACCGACTGTTGAACAGGACTTTCAGGTGGTGCTGTTTTACCGACTGTTGAACAGGACTTTCAGGTGGTGCTGTTTTACCACCCTTGGTGTGCTGTGTGTTTTCAGTTTTAGGCATGATGCCCCAGTCTACTGAAGACAGTTTAATCACTTTGTCATCTGAGGATGTCTCAATCAACATCGACCAGGAGATCTACCGTAGACCCACAAGCCCACCGCCACCCCCACCCGAACCAGACAACAAGAGGGAAAAGGTGAGAGGAAGGAGACAGACAAACACACACACACACACACACACACACACACACACACACACACATTAACAAGCATTCTCCGTATACAACAGGAGTGGAAGAAGAGCTCTCGCAGGTCTACTAAGAGAAGGAAGCGTACCGTAGCGGATGAGTCTGGGGACAACGTCCTCGACTGGTGGTCCAAGTACTATGCTTCAGTGGACAAGATCCAGCAGGCGAGGACATCTAAACATCTAGATATTGTCCACATGTTGGACTGTCGTTGGTCCATAGAGATGGACAAGAGAGCACACTCCCTATCTTTGTCATAACGGCTTGTGTGAGCACCCTCTATGGAAACTAATCAGGACCTCTTTGTTACCTCTCCAGGCCAAGCAGAAGGAGGTGCATCCCTTTCCGGACATCTATGATCATGATCATGGTGAGTAGGAGCTTTAACAAACCTTTCAAACAACTGACTGACTGTTCAAAATGAAATCAAATGTTATTTGTCACATGCTTCGTAAACAACAGGTGTAGACTAACAACAACGCAGAGAGACATTTATTTGAAAAAATATAAAAAAATAACAACAGGAGGAATAAATATACAATGAGTAATGATAACTTAGCTATATACCCGGGATACCAGTACCGAGTCGATGTTAGGGGTACGAGGTAATAACTTGACTATATACCCGGGGTACCAGTACCGAGTCGATGTGCTGGGGTACCAGGTAATAACTTGACTATATACCTGGGGTACCAGTACCGAGTCGATGTGCTGGGGTACGAGGTAATAACTTGACTATATACCCGGGGTACCAGTACCGAGTCGATGTGCTGGGGTACCAGGTAATAACTTGACTATATACCCGGGGTACCAGTACCGAGTCGATGTGCTGGGGTACGAGGTAATAACTTGACTATATACCCGGGGTACCAGTACCGAGTCGATGTGCTGGGGTACGAGGTAATAACTTGACTATATACCCGGGGTACCAGTACCGAGTCGATGTGCTGGGGTACGAGGTAATAACTTGACTATATACCCGGGGTACCAGTACCGAGTCGATGTGCTGGGGTACCAGGTAATAACTTGACTATATACCCGGGGTACCAGTACCGAGTCGATGTGCTGGGGTACCAGGTAATAACTTGACTATATACCCGGGGTACCAGTACCGAGTCGATGTGCTGGGGTACGAGGTAATAACTTGACTATATACCCGGGGTACCAGTACCGAGTCGATGTGCTGGGGTACGAGGTAATTGAGGTAGATATGTACATATAGGTAGGGACAAAGTGACTAGACAACAGGATAGATAATAAACAGTAACAGCAGCGTATGTGATGAGTCAAAAGAGTTAGTGCAAAAAGGATCAATGCAGATAGTTAAATAGTTCACCAATAGCTACCCAGACTAACTATTTAGCAGTCTTAGGGAGTAGAAGCTGTTCAGGGTCCTGTTGGTTCCAGACTTGGCGCTCCGGTACTGCTTGCCGTGCGGTAGCAGAGAGAACAGTCTACGACTTTTTTAGTTGTTTTTGTTGAGGTTTTTGGAGTCTACAGTAATTTTGGACAGCGCCTCACTACACACACATTGTTGTGTATTGCAGTATTTCCATTCCAAACCTTGCTCTCATTGTTGTGTATTGCAGTATTTCCATTCCAAACCTTGCTCTCATTGTTGTGTATTGCAGTATTTCCATTCCAAACCTTGCTCTCCGATGGAGTAGACTCCTTGGGTAAGGACATGAATAGCAAGACAGTAGTAATTCATCGCATGGTTTCTTCCCTCCCTCTATCAATCCTTTTTGGTGGCAAGTATAGTCCACTGCACATCAATAGAATAGTGTTTGGGGGGAAAGCTGTGAAATACAATGGTTGTGGGGGAGAAGGCCTATGGGTGTCATAAGGTTGGGGATCCATAGATGGTGTTACACATAGCTACCTATTTAGCAACCATAGCAAACTGTAGTTGTTTGCACCGGAGTTGCACCTTGGTTGCTTTGTGCTTAATGATTCAAGTTCTTATCCTACATCTTTATTGGACATCTATAGGTTTACTGTGGTGTGAATATGTTATTTTTCTGTGAGTGTCAGTCATTTGTTTTCTTGTCCCAGTCAGTGGACAGCAGGACGGAGACGACAAGAAGAAGAAGCCACAGTCGAAAGTCAAAGACTCTCAGGAAGGCGTGTCCAAACTGGCAACTCTGCAGGTAAAAGCTGCTGCGTTGCTTTCGGTCTCTAGTCCCCTGTGACAGACTGGCAACACTGCAGGTAAAAGCTGCTGCGTTGCTTTCGGTCTCTAGTCCCCTGTGACAAACTGGCAACACTGCAGGTAAAAGCTGCTGCGTTGCTTTCGGTCTCTAGTCCCCTGTGACAAACTGGCAACACTGCAGGTAAAAGCTGCTGCGTTGCTTTCGGTCTCTAGTCCCCTGTGACAAACTGGCAACACTGCAGGTAAAAGCTGCTGCGTTGCTTTCGGTCTCTAGTCCCCTGTGACAGACTGGCAACACTGCAGGTAAAAGCTGCTGCGTTGCTTTCGGTCTCTAGTCCCCTGTGACAAACTGGCAACACTGCAGGTAAAAGCTGCTGCGTTGCTTTCGGTCTCTAGTCCCCGTGAAAGACGGAGGTGTCATTAGATTACCCTTTTTCAACCAATCATATCAGTGTAAGTGTGCATTAGTTATTTGAAGTGTGTTGTGTATGAACATGTACAGGGCTTTTATTATGTTTCTGTGTATTGCAAGGTTGTTAAGTTTAATATTGCCATATTCTAATGAGATCACATTGATATGTAAACCCTCTAACTGTATATCAGTGTGTATTTGTTCTTTACCACATTGCTGAGTATGAACAATATGTAAATTCCCTGTAGCTGTATGACAAGGAGCTGGAGTCAGAGTTCGGTCCGTTTGATGACTGGGTCAACACCTTCGAGCTGTTCAGAGGGAAAGCCAATGACGAGGGGGCCCGTTCTAATGAGGAGAGGTTTGTTGGGAAGTTCAAGGTGAGTGGTTCTGTGCTTTTTCTTCACAAATGTTGTTCTGGAGGCAGCTCTAACAAAACGGTCACTAGCTGGCACAGCCGCAAAGTCATAAAATCAGATTTTAAACCTAACCCTAACCACCCTGCTAACCGTAATGCCTAATCCTAACCTTAAATTAAGACTAAAAAGCAAATTTTTGTTTTCATGAATTTTTACAATATAGACAATTATCACTTCACTCAGTTCTGCCTCTAGGAGAAGACTCATGACAATAAACATCCAACTGCGATTATAGCCTGGTCCCAGATCTGTTCAATTGCTAGGACTTCGGCAAGACAGCACAAACGGATCTGGGACCAGGCTAGAGATAAATAACCATTATGTAACCACCATAAAAGGACGGATTCATTTTGGTCAGGGTCAGTAACGACGATCCAAACTACCGTGTGTACGTCTAGGGTCGGTTCTGCTTGTACAAGCTAACTGAGGAGGACTGTGAGTGGGAGGAGAGTCCATCACACTCAGGCCAGTTTAAGATCACCCGTGGGATCCCACCCAACACCTCCGTCAAGGTTCTCGTCAGGGTTTACATCGTATCTGTGAGTATGAGTAGACCATAAAAGAGATGTGTCTCGTGTCACGTGTCATCACGTTCACTAGGGCATACTATAGCAAAAAACTTTTTTTTTGCAATGGAAAAACAAAAAAATCTGTGTTCTTTTCTTCCATTTGGTGGCAAGTGAACACAACCCTTGGCTATATCTGTCCGTCCCTCAGGCATCTAACCTCCACCCAGCCGATGCCGATGGGAAGTCTGATCCCTACATTGTTCTGAGGATGGGGAAAACTGAGATAAAAGACAGAGACAACTACATCCCCAAGCAACTCAACCCAGTCTTTGGCAGGTGGGAGAATACATTTTATACCATCTGTAACAATGACGCTGTGAGTTGAGAAGCAGGTGAAACGTTCAATAAAACAACAAAACTTGAAATGAGACAGCGTAACAGTGGGATGTAGTGTAAACACAGGAACATTACCGACTGAGGACTAAACGTAAAGGAGGGACATATAAAGGGGAGGTAATGGAGTCCAGGTGTGAATTATAATGATCTGCAGGTGCGCGTAATGATGGATGCCAGGTGTGCGTAATGATGGATGCCAGGACTGGTGGTCAGTATTCCGGCGACTTCGCACGCCGGAGGGGAGGAGCACGAGTAGACGTGACACCATCCTTTAACAGAAGCTGTTTCCCTGGTTATATTTTAGTCAAATGAGCAAGCATTTACACCATCCTTTAACAGAAGCTGTTTCCCTGGTTATATTTTAGTCAAATGAGCAAGCATTTACACCATCCTTTAACAGAAGCTGTTTCCCTGGTTATATTTTAGTCAAATGAGCAAGCATTTACACCATCCTTTAACAGAAGCTGTTTCCCTGGTTATATTTTAGTCAAATGAGCAAGCATACATTTACAAAATACAGTATGTTGGTGGATGTCAGTGCAGAAAGGACCAATTGTTTAACATCATATCCATTTGACTTTATTCCCACCCAGGAAGGATTTTATACTATTTTTAACCAGTGGTTTGTAGTTTAGTCAGCTGAGCAAGCATAATGTACTGTATGTTGGCAGAGATTAATACAAAACTTCATATCCTTTGTCCTTTTCCCACCAGGTCCTTTGAGCTCCAGGCTACGTTTCCTAAAGATTCCCTGCTGACTGTTCTGATCTATGACCATGACACCATCGGGACTGACGATCTGATCGGGGAGACATGGATAGATCTGGAGAACCGCTTCTACAGCCGACACCAGGCCACCTGCGGACTGCCCACTGAGTACAGCATGTGAGGAAACACATTTTATTCTTCTTCTTCTTCTTCTTCTTCTTCTTCTTCCTCTTCTTCTTCTTCATCTTCCTCTTCTTCTTCCTCTTCCTCTTCTTCTTCTTCTTCTTCTTCTTCTTCCTCTTCTTCCTTCTTCTTCTTCTTCTTCTTCTTCTCTTCTTCTTCTTCTTCTTCTTCTTCTTCTTCTTCTTCTTCTTCTTCTCTTTACCCTTGGTTTGGGTCTCTTCTTTTTGCCTTTACTTTTATCTCCTCATTGGATATCATGTTGTGTTCCACCCAGGTATCTTAGTGATAGTTATCACGACTGGAGAGATTTCACCAAGCTGGCAGAGTTGCTGACTAAGAAGTTCAGTATGTCATGTTTATAACCATGTCATGATGCTGTTATAACATGTTATCCATGTATCTTAGTGATGGTTATAACCTGAACGCCTTGGACTCCAAAGTTGGACCCGCTGAGGGCTAAGGTCTAAATGGACCCCTACTTGAGACCCGGAAGAATCACCATCGGGGACAAAGTCTTCACTGGGAAAACACTGTTCATGGATGAAGGTATTTAACTGACTTTACTGAACTGAACATTGATTTGTTTATTGCCTTTGCTCAACCAGGTAAGTTAATTGGTGAATAATTAAATAACGACCTGAAAATGCATCAAGTCACAGTGACAGGCAACGACACCACTGTAAATATATAGGGCTGGTTTCCCAGATACCACTGTAAATATATAGGGCTGGTTTCCCAGACACCACTGTAAATATATAGGGCTGGTTTCCCAGACACCACTGTAAATATATAGGGCTGGTTTCCCAGATACTACTGTAAATATATAGGGCTGGTTACCCAGACACCACTGTAAATATATAGGGCTGGTTTCCCAAACACCACTGTAAATATATAGGGCTGGTTTCCCAGATACTACTGTAAATATATAGGGCTGGTTTCCCAGATACCACTGTAAATATATAGGGCTGGTTTCCAAGACACCATCGTAAATATATAGGGCTGGTTTCCCAGATACCACTGTAAATACAGTGGGGAAAAAAAGTATTTAGTCAGCCACCAATTGTGCAAGTTCTCCCACTTAAAAAGATGAGAGAGGCCTGTAATTTTCATCATAGGTACACATCAACTATGACAGACAAATTGAGAATTTTTTTTCCAGAAAATCACATTGTAGGATTTTTAATGAATTTATTGGCAAATTATGGTGGAAAATAAGTATTTGGTCACCTACAAACAAGCAAGATTTATGGCTCTCACAGACCTGTAACTTCTTCTTTAAGAGGCTCCTCTGTCCTCCACTCATTACCTGTATTAATGGCACCTGTTTGAACTTGTTATCAGTATAAAAGACACCTGTCCACAACCTCAAACAGTCACACTCCAAACTCCACTATGGCCAAGACCAAAGAGCTATCAAAGGACACCAGAAACAAAATTGTAGACCTGCACCAGGCTGGGAAGACTGAATCTGCAATAGGTAAGCAGCTTGGTTTGAAGAAATCAACTGTGGGAGCAATTATTAGGAAATGGAAGACATACAAGACCACTGATAATCTCCCTCGATCTGGGGCTCCACGCAAGATCTCACCCTGTGTGGTCAAAATGATCACAAGAACGGTGAGCAAAAATCCCAGATCCACACGGGGGGGCCTAGTGAATGACCTGCAGAGAGCTGGGACTAAAGTAACAAAGCCTACCGTCAGTAACACACTACGCCGCCAGGGACTCAAATCCTGCAGTGCAAGACGTGTCCCCTTGCTTAAGCCAGTACATGTCCAGGCCCATCTGAAGTTTGCTAGAGTGCATTTGGATGATCCAGAAGAGGATTGGGAGAATGTCATATGGTCAGATGAAACCAAAATAGAACTTTTTGGTAAAAACTCAACTCGTCGTGTTTGGAGGACAAAGAATGCTGAGTTGCATCCAAAGAACACCATACCTACTCTGAAGCATGGGGGTGGAAACATCATACTTTGGGGCTGTTTTTCTGCAAAGGGACCAGGACGACTTTTCTGTGTAAAGGAAAGAATGAATGGGGCCATGTATCGTGAGATTTTGAGTGAAAACCTCCTTCCATCAGCAAGGGCATTGAAGATGAAACGTGGCTGGGTCTTTCAGCATGACAATGATCCCAAACACACCGCCCGGGCAACAAAGGAGTGGCTTCGTAAGAAGCATTTCAAGGTCCTGGAGTGGCCTAGCCAGTCTCCAGATCTCAACCCCATAGAAAATCTTTGGAGGGAGTTGAAAGTCCGTGTTGCCCAGCGACAGCCCCAAAACATCACTGCTCTAGAGGAGATCTGCATGGAGGAATGGGCCAAAATACCAGCAACAGTGTGTGAAAACCTTGTGAAGACTTACAGAAAACGTTTGACCTGTGTCATTGCCAACAAAGGGTATATAACAAAGTATTGAGAAACTTTTGTTATTGACCAAATACTTATTTTCCACCATAATTTGCAAATAAATTCATAAAAAATCCTACAATGTGATTTTCTGGATTTTTTTTCTCATTTTGTCTGTCATAGTTGACGTGTACCTATGATGAAAATTACAGGCCTTTCTCATCTTTTAAAGTGGGAGAACTTGCACAATTGGTGGCTGACTAAATACTTTTTTTCCCCACTGTATATAGGGCTGGTTTCCCAGACACCACTGTAAATATATAGGGCTGGTTTCCCAGACACCACTGTAAATATATAGGGCTGGTTTCCCAGACAACACTGTAAATATATAGGGCTGGTTTCCAAGACACCATCGTAAATATATAGGGCTGGTTTCCCAGATACCACTGTAAATATATAGGGCTGGTTCCCCAGACACCACTGTAAATATATAGGGCTGGTTTTCCAGATACCACTGTAAATATATAGGGCTGGTTTCCCAGATACCACTGTAAATATATAGGGCTGGTTTCCCAGACACCACTGTAAATATATAGGGCTGGTTTCCCAGATACCACTGTAAATATATAGGGCTGGTTTCCCAGATACCACTGTAAATATATAGGGCTGATTTCCCAGACACCACTGTAAATATATAGGGCTGGTTTCCCAGACACCACTGTAAATATATAGGGCTGATTTCCCAGACACCACTGTAAATATATAGGGCTGGTTTCCCAGATACCGCTGTAAATATATAGGGCTGGTTTCCCAGATACCGCTGTAAATATATAGGGCTGGTTTCCCAGATACCACTGTAAATATATAGGGCTGGTTTCCCAGATACCACTGTAAATATATAGGGCTGGTTTCCCAGATACCACTGCAAATATATAGGGCTGGTTTCCCAGACACCACTGTAAATATACAGTGGGGAAAAAAAGTATTTAGTCAGCCACCAATTGTGCAAGTTCTCCCACTTAAAAAGATGAGAGAGGCCTATAATTTTCATCATAGGTACATGTCAACTATGACAGACAAATTAAGAATAAAAAATCCAGAAAATCACATTGTAGGATTTTTAATGAATTTATTTGCAAATTATGGTGGAAAATAAGTATTTGGTCACCTACAAACAAGCAAGATTTCTGGCTCTCACAGACCTGTAACTTCTTCTTTAAGAGGCTCCTCTGTCCTCCACTCGTTACCTGTATTAATGGCACCTGTTTGAACTTGTTATCAGTATAAAAGACACCTGTCCACAACCTCAAACAGTCACACTCCAAACTCCACTATGGCCAAGACCAAAGAGCTGTCAAAGGACACCAGAAACAAAATTGTAGACCTGCACCAGGCTGGGAAGACTGAATCTGCAATAGGTAAGCAGCTTGGTTTGAAGAAATCAACTGTGGGAGCAATTATTAGGAAATGGAAGACATACAAGACCACTGATAATCTCCCTCGATCTGGGGCTCCATGCAAGATCTCACCCCGTGGGGTCAAAATGATCAGAAGAACGGTGAGCAAAAATACCAGAACCACACGGGGGGACCTAGTGAATGACCTGCAGAAAGCTGGGACCAAAGTAACAAAGCCTACCATCAGTTACACACTACGCCGCCAGGGACTCAAATCCTGCAGTGCAAGACGTGTCCCCCTGCTTAAGCCAGTACATGTCCAGGCCTGTCTGAAGTTTGCTAGAGTGCATTTGGATGATCCAGAAGAGGATTGGGAGAATGTCATATGGTCAGATAAAACCAAAATATAACTTTTTGGTAAAAACTCAACTCGTCGTGTTTGGAGGACAAAGAATGCTGAGTTGCATCCAAAGAACACCATACCTACTGTGAAGCATGGGGGTGGAAACATCATGCTTTGGGGCTGTTTTTCTGCAAAGGGACCAGGACGACTGATCTGTGTAAAGGAAAGAATGAATGGGGCCATGTATCGTGAGATTTTGAGTGAAAACCTCCTTCCATTAGCAAAGGCATTGAAGATGAAACGTGGCTGGGTCTTTCAGCATGACAATGATCCCAAACACACTGCCCGGGCAACGAAGGAGTGGCTTTGTAAGAAGCATTTCAAGGTCCTGGAGTGGCCTAGCCAGTCTCCAGATCTCAACCCCATAGAAAATCTTTGGAGGGAGTTGAAAGTCCGTGTTGCCCAGCGACAGCCCCAAAACATCACTGCTCTAGAGGAGATCTGCATGGAGGAATGTGCCAAAATACCAGCAACAGTGTGTGAAAACCTTGTGAAGACTTACAGAAAATGTTTGACCTGTGTCATTGCCAACAAAGGGTATATAACAAAGTATTGAGAAACTTTTGTTATTGACCAAATACTTATTTTCCACCATAATTTGCAAATAAATTCATTAAAAATCCTACAATGTGATTTTCTGGATTTTCTTTTCTCATTTTGTCTGTCATAGTTGACGTGTACCTATGATGAAAATTACAGGCCTCTCTCATCTTTTTAAGTGGGAGAACTTGCACAATTGGTGGCTGACTAAATACTTTTTTTCCCCACTGTATAGGGCTGGTTTCCCAGATACCACTGTAAATATATAGGGCTGGTTTCCCAGACACCACTGTAAATATATAGGGCTGGTTTCCCAGATACCACTGTAATATAGGGCTGGTTTCCCAGACATGGTTTAGGCCTAGTCCTGGATGGAAAAAAAAGCACTTTCAATATATTATCTCTATTGAGAATACTTTTTAGTCCAAGACTAGGCCTTGTCTGGGAAACCTGCCAAGACTGTGTTCTATTTCCATCCAGTATGGTACTGATTAATATGTGCTGCTGTACACAGAGCAGACAGTGGAGTCCTATGAACATCTGGCTCTGAAGATCCTTCACAGATGGACTGAGATTCCAGGGGTGGGGTGTAGACTTGTCCCAGAGCACATCGAGACACGGACTCTGTACAACAAGGCCAGACCAGGGATGGACCAGGTAATACATACCTTCTATCAAAAATAATCACATTACTTTAAAAAAAAAAGATATTATGCAATTTGTTCAACTTCACAAGTGTCTGTGTGTGTGTGTGTTTGTGTGTGGTTCAGGGCCAGCTCCAGATGTGGGTGGACATGTTCCCCATGGATATGCCCCACCCAGGACCCTCTGTGGACATCGCCCCTCGTAAACCTAAAGGGTAAGGCTTCGTACCTCCGTAGCACTAGGGCAGGTATACCCCAGATAAGTCCCAATACAAGACCAATATACCTCAAACCAGGCTAGTTGAATAAAACAACCAGCTGTTATGATGTGATTGTATATGACATCAGTTGATTGATTGATTGTTGATCCTGTGAAGGTATGAGTTGATTGATTGATTGTTGATCCTATGAAGGTATGAGTGGATTGATTGTTGGTCCTGTGAAGGTATGAGTTGATTGATTGTTGATCCTGTGAAGGTATGAGTTGATTGATTGATTGTTGGTCCTGTGAAGGTATGAGTTGATAGATTGATTGTTGATCCTGTGACAGTATGAGTTGATTGAATGATTGTTGGTCCTGTGAAGGTATGAGTTGATTGATTGATTGTTGGTCCTGTGTAGATATGAGTTGATTGATTGTTGATCCTGTGAAGGCATGAGTTGATTGATTGATTGTTGGTCTTGTGAAGATATGAGTTGAGAATCATCATCTGGAACACTGAAGATGTGATTCTGGAGGACACTAACTTCCTCACAGGAACACAGTCTAGTGACATCTACGTCAAAGGGTGAGTGGAACGACAATTTTTTTCAAACTTATCCAATATAAAACAGACATTGATGATTAGATTACATTCAGCTCATCCCTGAAGATCAAGCTTCTGAAACTGACCTTGACTGACCTTGTCGGTTCGGTTTTGAATACCCGTCTTAAAGATCTATTTTTCCTGACTCGACCTTGCATTAACAGTAATTTAGTCATCTTTCTCTACTGTCATCCTCTCTATCTTTATCTACTGTCAACCTCTCTATATTTCTCTACTGTCCTCCTCTCTTCCTTTCTCTATTGTCATCCTCTATATCTTTCTCTACTGTCATCCTCTCTTTCTCTAAATTCATTCTCTTTCTTTACTGTCATTCTCTATCTTTCTCTACTGTCCTCTATCTTTATTTACTGTCATTCTCACTCTTTCTCCACTGTGCTCCTCTCTATCTTTCTCTTTACTGTCCTCCACTCTATCTTTCTCTACTGTCCTCCTCTCACTCTTTCTCTACTGTCCTCCTCTCAATCTTTCTCCACTGTCCTCCTCTCTATCTTTCTCTACTGTCATCCTCTATCTTTCTCTACTGTTATCCTCTATCTTTCTCTACTGTCCTCCTCTCTATATGTCTCTACTGTCATCATCTATCTTTCTCCACTGTCATCCTCTCTATCTTTCTCTACTGTGCTGCTCTCTATCTTTCTCTACTGTCCTCCTCTCAATCTTTCTCCACTGTCCTCCTCTCTATCTTTCTCTACTGTAATCCTCTCAATCTTTCTCTACTGTCATTCTCTCTATCTTTCTCTGTCATCCTCTCTAACTTTCTCTACTGTCATCCTCTCTTTCTCTACTATCATCCTCTCTTTCTCTACTGTCAGCCTCTATCTTTCTCTACTGTCATCCTCTATCTTTCTCCACTGTCATCCTCTCTATCTTTCTCTACTGTGCTCCTCTCTATCTTTCTCTACTGTCCTCCTCTCAATCTTTCTCAACTGTCCTCCTCTCTATCTTTCTCTACTGTCACCCTCTATCTTTCTCTACTGTAATCCTCTCAATCTTTCTCTACTGTCATTCTCTCTATCTTTCTCTGTCATCCTCTCTAACTTTCTCTACTGTCATCCTCTCTTTCTCTACTATCATCCTCTCTTTCTCTACTGTCAGCCTCTATCTTTCTCTACTGTCATCCTCTATCTTTCTCCACTGTCATCCTCTCTATCTTTCTCTACTGTGCTCCTCTCTATCTTTCTCTACTGTCCTCCTCTCAATCTTTCTCAACTGTCCTCCTCTCTATCTTTCTCTACTGTCATCCTCTATCTTTCTCTACTGTAATCCTCTCAATCTTTCTCTACTGTCATTCTCTCTATCTTTCTCTGTCATCCTCTCTAACTTTCTCTACTGTCATCCTCTCTTTCTCTACTATCATCCTCTCTTTCTCTACTGTCAGCCTCTATCTTTCTCTACTGTCCTCCTCTCTCTATTTCTCTACTGTCATTCTCTATCGTTCTCTACTGTCATCCTCTATCTTTCTCTACTGTCCTCCTCTCTCTCTCTCTACTGTCATCTTCTCTATCTTTCTCTACTGTCCTCCTCTCTATCTTTCTCTACTGTCATCCTCTATATCTTTCTCTACTGTCATCCTCTCTATCTTTCTCTACTGTCCTCCTCTCTATCTTTCTCTACTGTCATCCTCTATCTTTCTCTACGCTCATCCCCTCTATCTTTCTCTACTGTCATCCTCTCTCACTCAATAGTCTGAAAATATATTTTTATAATTGTATAATTTTTTTCAGGTGGCTTAAGGGCATTGAGGACGATCGCCAGGAGACTGATGTTCACTACAACTCTCTGACTGGGGAGGGTAACTTCAACTGGCGCCTGGTGTTCCCCTTTAACTACCTGCCTGCCGAGAAGGTGGTGGTGGTCAGTAAGAGGGGGAGCATCTTCTCCCTGGACAAGACAGAGCAGAAGCTACCGGCCATGTTGGTGATGCAGGTCTGGGACTTTGAGAGGCTGTCATCTGATGACTTCTTGGGTAAGAGAGAGAAAGAGACACTGGTTTGGCTCCTTTCCCTGGGCTGTCAGACAGTAGGCAATGGGAGGAAGGGGGACACGTTCATCTCAATGATCAGTATCAATCAGGGAAATCACATCCCAACCCAGAGCCTCTATTTTTCCCATTAACACACTTTCTGTATGTGTGAAACAAGAGTTAAGATAGATGTTTCTCTGTTCTCAGGTAGCGTGGAGCTGGACTTACATGGGTTTCCCCGCGGGGCCAAGTCAGCCAAGGCCTGTAAGATGGACATGCTGAAGGACAGTGTAGAGAAGATCTCCATCTTCCAACAGAAGAGGTCCAGAGGCTGGTGGCCCTTTGTCAAGGCTGAGGAGCTCACGGTACCAATACCATTCAACACCTTACTAAGACGACAATTAGTCTGCTTCCCTAATGGCACTATATTCCCTATATAGTGCACTACTTTAGACCAGAGAATGGCACCCTATTCACTATATAATGCACTACTTTAGACCAGAGAATGGCACCCTAGTCCCTATATAGTGCTCTACTTTAGACCAGAGAATGGCACCCTATTCCCTATATAGTGCACTACTTTAGACCAGAGAATGGCACCCTATTCCCTATATAGTGCACTACTTTAGACCAGAGAATGGCACCCTATTCCCTATATAGTGCACTACTTTTGACCAAAACCAAATTGGGCCTGGTGGGTGCCATTTCGGATGCAACCTACTGCCTAGGAGGTAGGGGTTAGGGGTTGTGTCTACTGCCCAGGAGGTAGGGGTTAGGGGTTGTGTCTACTGCCCAGGAGGTAGGGGTTAGGGGTTGTGTCTACTGCCCAGGAGGTAGGGGTTAGGGGTTGTGTCTACTGCCCAGGAGGTAGGGGTTAGGGGTTGTGTCTACTGCCTAGGAGGTAGGGGTTAGGGGTTGTGCCTACTGCCCAGGAGGTAGGGGTTAGGGGTTGTGTCTACTGCCCAGGAGGTAGGGGTTAGGGGTTGTGTCTACTGCCCAGGAGGTAGGGGTTAGGGGTTGTGTCTACTGCCCAGGAGGTAGGGGTTAGGGGTTGTGTCTACTGCCCAGGAGGTAGGGGTTAGGGGTTGTGTCTACTGCCTAGGAGGTAGGGGTTAGGGGTTGTGTCTACTGCCCAGGAGGTAGGGGTTAGGGGTTGTGTCTACTGCCCAGGAGGTAGGGGTTAGGGGTTGTGTCTACTGCCCAGGAGGTAGGGGTTAGGGGTTGTGTCTACTGCCCAGGAGGTAGGGGTTAGGGGTTGTGTCTACTGCCCAGGAGGTAGGGGTTAGGGGTTGTGTCTACTGCCCAGGAGGTAGGGGTTAGGGGTTGTGTCTACTGCCCAGGAGGTAGGGGTTAGGGGTTGTGTCTACTGCCCAGGAGGTAGGGGTTAGGGGTTGTGCCTACTGCCCAGGAGGTAGGGGTTAGGGTTGTGTCTACTGCCCTAGGAGGTAGGGGTTAGGGGTTGTGTCTACTGCCTAGGAGGTAGGGGTTAGGGGTTGTGTCTACTGCCTAGGAGGTAGGGGTTAGGGGTTGTGTCTACTGCCTAGGAGGTAGGGGTTAGGGGTTGTGTCTACTGCCTAGGAGGTAGGGGTTAGGGTTGTGTCTACTGCCTAGGAGGTAGGGGTTAGGGGTTGTGTCTACTGCCTAGGAGGTAGGGGTTAGGGGTTGTGTCTACTGCCTAGGAGGTAGGGGTTAGGGGTTGTGTCTACTGCCTAGGAGGTAGGGGTTAGGGGTTGTGTCTACTGCCTAGGAGGTAGGGGTTAGGGGTTGTGTCTACTGCTAGGAGGTAGGGGTTAGGGGTTGTGCCTACTGCCTAGGAGGTAGGGGTTAGGGGTTGTGTCTACTGCCTAGGAGGTAGGGGTTAGGGGTTGTGTCTACTGCCTAGGAGGTAGGGGTTAGGGGTTGTGTCTACTGCCTAGGAGGTAGGGGTTAGGGGTTAGGGGTTAGGGGTTGTGTCTACTGCCTAGGAGGTAGGGGTTAGGGGTTGTGTCTACTGCCTAGGGGTAGGGTTAGGGGTTGTGTCTACTGCCTAGGAGGTAGGGGTTAGGGGTTGTGTCTACTGCCTAGGAGGTAGGGGTTAGGGGTTGTGCCTACTGCCTAGGAGGTAGGGGTTGTGTCTACTGCCTAGGAGGTAGGGGTTAGGGGTTAGGGGTTGTGTCTACTGCCTAGGAGGTAGGGGTTAGGGGTTAGGGGTTGTGTCTACTGCCTAGGAGGTAGGGGTTAGGGGTTGTGTCTACTGCCTAGGAGGTAGGGGTTAGGGGTTGTGTCTACTGCCTAGGAGGTAGGGGTTAGGGGTTGTGCCTACTGCCTAGGAGGTAGGGGTTAGGGGTTAGGGGTTGTGTCTACTGCCTAGGAGGTAGGGGTTAGGGGTTGTGTCTACTGCCTAGGAGGTAGGGGTTAGGGGTTAGGGGTTGTGTCTACTGCCTAGGAGGTAGGGGTTAGGGGTTAGGGGTTGTGTCTACTGCCTAGGAGGTAGGGGTTAGGGGTTGTGCCTACTGCCTAGGAGGTAGGGGTTGTGTCTACTGCCTAGGAGGTAGGGGTTAGGGGTTGTGTCTACTGCCTAGGAGGTAGGGGTTAGGGGTTGTGTCTACTGCCTAGGAGGTAGGGGTTAGGGGTTGTGCCTACTGCCTAGGAGGTAGGGGTTGTGTCTACTGCCTAGGAGGTAGGGGTTAGGGGTTGTGTCTACTGCCTAGGAGGTAGGGGTTAGGGGTTGTGCCTACTGCCTAGGAGGTAGGGGTTAGGGGTTGTGTCTACTGCCTAGGAGGTAGGGGTTAGGGGTTGTGTCTACTGCCTAGGAGGTAGGGGTTAGGGGTTGTGTCTACTGCCTAGGAGGTAGGGGTTTAGGGGTTTGTGTCTACTGCCTAGGAGGTAGGGGTTAGGGGTTGTGTCTACTGCCTAGGAGGTAGGGGTTAGGGGTTGTGTCTACTGCCTAGGAGGTAGGGGTTAGGGGTTGTGCCTACTGTCTAGGAGGTAGGGGTTAGGGGTTGTGTCTACTGCCTAGGAGGTAGGGGTTAGGGGTTGTGTCTACTGCCTAGGAGGTAGGGGTTAGGGGTTGTGCCTACTGCCTAGGAGGTAGGGGTTAGGGGTTGTGTCTACTGCCTAGGAGGTAGGGGTTAGGGGTTGTGCCTACTGCCTAGGAGGTAAAGTTAGGGGTTGTGTCTACTGCCTAGGAGGTAGGGGTTAGGGGTTGTGTCTACTGCCTAGGAGGTAGGGGTTAGGGGTTGTGTCTACTGCCTAGGAGGTAGGGGTTAGGGGTTGTGTCTACTGCCTAGGACAGTGGTCACCAACCTTTTCTGAGTCAAGATCACTTTCGCAGTCGAGATCTACCATCTTCCACCTGATGGCGAAATTCGAGTCGCACCATATCTGCCTCATGCACAAATTAATGTTGTTCCTATGACCAGAGAAAGTGAAATATTCCTCGATATTAAAATAGACACGACGAGCTGCTAATAACAATACAGACGCAGGGCTGTCGATACACTTGGCTACTCATTCATTGCAGCTGCAGCGCGAATGGAAGCGAGTGGAAGTACGGGGAAGTGCGTTTTGTTTTGTAATTGTGTTGAATAAAAACAGTGCTGGATAAAAAGTTAAACATGAACTCATTCATAAAAACAGAAGCTATTTGCTGTATTCTTTGACAGTCTCTCTGTGGACATGGTTTTAAAAGTTATTAAATCTTACGTAGGCTAGATTCAAACTTTGCAGGGGCCGGGGAAGCTCTCCATTTAGCCACAGATCTCCCGGTCCACCAGGTAGGCGGAGTTTGTCTTTTCAGAGAAATTAAATGGTTCAAAATGGGAACTCTTTGCTTACCCGGTGTGCAGGGCTTCTGAATCAAGTGCACCTACCGCCAACAGGGCTTCTGAATCAAGTGCACCTACCACCAACAGGGCTTCTGAATCAAGTGCACCTACCACCAACAGCGCAACACAAAAAAAAAAAAGGAGCGCAACCCTTTTATCTTTGGGGTTTTTTCTACGGGAAACTTTTGGCCCAAAGATTAAAGATAAAACCAGTCGATTGCGTTTTGCCGGTTGCGGCCGGGTTTTCAAAGGGGGGGCAAAGGGGGCCCCCCCCAAAGGGGGTTGGGGGGGTTGTCCTTTTTATTGGGGGGGGGGGGGGGTTTTTGGGGTTGGGGGCATTCCTGGGGTTTTTAGGGGGGGAAAGTTAAGGGGATTAACGGGTTTTTAAATCAAGGGGAAAAGAAGGGGAGGCGGAAAGGCCCCTGGGGAAAAAAGGAAAGGCCCAAAAAAAGAAAATTTTTCACTCCCAAGGAGCCAGAAACCCCTTTTTTCCCAAAAAACCCAAAGTAATGGAAATTTTTGTATTTACCCTTTAAAAATCTTTTAATTTTAAAAGCCGGTCCAAGACCAACCCCTCCCCCTTGAAAAACCTTTTTAAAATGGTTGGTTCATTTTCTTTAGCAAAAAAAAAGGATCATAAAGGGAAAAATTGCCTAATAAGAGTACTCTAAAAATTTGGGGAAGAGAGAGAGAGAAAAGGGGGGAAAAGAGGAGAAAAAAGGAAAAGAAAAGGCGAGAAAAGGAAGAAAGAGAAGAGACCCGAGAGAGAAACAAAACCCCGGGAAAAAAAAGAAAAGCTAGGGCGAGAGGGGGAGAAGAGAGAGGGGAGGAGAGGAAGGGGGCGAGAGAAAAAGAGAGGAGGAGGAGGAGAGGAGAGAGAAGAGGAGCGAAGGGGAGAGAGAAGAAGGAGAGAGAAGAGAGGGGAAAGTAAGAGAGAGAGAGGGAGAGAGAGAGAAGAGGGAGAAGAGGAGAGGGAGAAGAAAAGGAAAGAGAGAAAAAGAGGAGGAAAAGAGGGAAAAGGGGGACAGAAGGGGGAGAGAGAGAGAGGGGGAGAGAGGAGGGGAGAGAGAGAGGAGAAGGGAAAAGGAGAGAGATAGAGGAGAGGGAGGGGAGGGGGAGCCAAAAGAGGGGAAAGGGGAAAGGGAGAGAGAGGGAAAAGAGAAAAAGAGGAGAGGAGAGCGAGAGAGAGGGGAAAAAGGGGGAAAAGGAGAGAGAGAGAAGGAAGAGAGAGAGAAAGGGAAAAGGAGGGAGGGGGAGAGAGAAAAGGAGAGAGAGAGGGGGAAAGAAGAGAGAGAGAGAGGAGAAAAGGGAAGAGAGAAAAAGAAGAGAGGAAAAAAAAAGAAGAAATTTAGAAAAAAAGGAAAGAGAAAAAGGGGAGAGAAAAAAAGGGGAGGGAAAGAAAAGAAAAAAAAGAAGAAAAGGGGAAAAGGGGGGGAAAAAAAAAAAGGGAGAGAAGAAAGAGGAGAAAAAAAAAACAGAAGAAAAAAAAAAAAAAAGGGAAAAGGGGAGAGAAAAGGGAAAAGGGAGAGAGGAAAAAGAAAAAAAAAAAAGGGAGGAAAGAAGAAAGAAAAAGAAAAATTGTATTTTTTCCCCTATATAAAAATTTGGGGGAGAGTAGTTTAGACATAAATGGGCTATATATTTTAAATAAAAAATAAAAATTTTGGCACCCCTTTAATTTTTATTTTATTTTCTTCTTCTTTAATATATAAAAGGGTTCTATTGGTTTTTGTTCCCCAAAAAGTTTTTATGGTTCCATATTTATTTCTTCTAAAAGGGGAAAAAATCATTATTAAAAATTTGGGATATATATATTCTCCTAAATTTTTTGGGTAGTCTCTCCTAAAGGAAAAAAGAAAGAACCCCGGAGAGAGAGAGAGAGAGGGGTAGAGGATGAGATGGGGGAGAAGAAACAAGAAAGAGAGAAAAAGGAGGGCGAAAAAGAGAGGAAGAGAGAGGAGAGGAAAAAAAAAGAGAGAAAGAAAAAAAAGGGAAGACGGAAAAGGAAAAAAAAAGGGGAAAAGTTTTTAAAAGAAAAGAAGAGAGGAGAGAAAAAGAGCGAAGAGAAGAACAAAAATCTATTCCCCCAAACCTAACTTTTCTCTCTACAAATTCTTTTGGGTCTCTCTTTTTTGTCGCATCTCTCTCCCCCTTTCCCCCTCTCCCCCTCTCTCTCTTCCTTCTCTCCCCCCCCCCCCCCCTCTCTCTCGCCTCCCTTCTCTCTCGCTCTCCCCCTCTCCCCCCTTCCTCTCTCTACCCCCCCTTTCTTCCTCCCCCCCCCTCTAGCCGGCCAGACACATCATTCTCGGGTTTGTAAAACCCTTTAAGTTTTTTTTCCATGATCTGGGGGGGAACTATAAAAAGGGACTTTAAATAATCGCTGTGGTCCTTTCATCAGGCTTGTTATCGCCTGTGTTACCCCCCTTCCAGACCCAATTCACAAAAAGATAGTCAATGGTTAACAGCTAAACAGTAAACAACACCAACCCTGCCACCCCAGCCATCTCAAAAAAGATAGTAAATTTGGGTAACTAGCTAACAGAAACCCACAAAAACCTTTAAAACCCGGCCACCCAGCCATTAAAAGAAATAGTGGGGGTTAACTGGGCTAACATTTAACCCCCACCCCAAACCCCTCCCAAAAGCCTTTCTCACGGGAAAAAAATAGTCAAGGGTTTTAAACTAGCTAACGGGAACCCCACTCCCTTTAACCCCTCCCAGCAGCCTTTCCCACGGGAATTAGCAATGGTTAACTAGTAACAAAAAACCCCACTCCCTTAACCCTGCCAGCAGCCATCTCACAGAAGATAGTCAATGGTTAACTAGCTAACAGTAACACACTACCTTAACCCTGCCAGCAGCCATCTCACAGAAGATAGTCAATGGTTAACTAGCTAACAGTAACACACTCCCAAAAAACCCCCCAAAGCAGCCATTCCCAAAATTTATAGTCAATGGTTAACTAGCTAACAAAAAAAACATTTCCCTTTAACCCCTCCCAAGCAGCCCCTCACGGGAAATATAGTCAATGGTAACAAAGCTAACAGAAACCCCCACTCCCTTTAAAACCCTGCCAGCACCCACCCCACAGAATAAAAGTCAATGGTTAAACTGGGCAACAGAAACACACTCCCTTTAACCCCGGGCCGCACCCATCTCACAGAAGTAGCCCAAGGGTTTAAACAGTAACAGAAAAACACACTCCCTTTTAACCCTGCCGCAGCCATTCACAGAAGAAAAGCAAAGGGTTTTAACTAAGCTAACAGTAACACATCCCTTTAAACCCCTGCCGGGCACCCCATCTCACAAAAAGATGTCAAGGGTTTTAATAGCTAACAGTAAACACTACCTTAACCCTCCCAAGGCACCCAAATTTACAGAAGATAGTCAATGGTTAACTAGTAACGGGAACAACTCCCCTTAACCCTGCCAGCGGGCCATCCCCACAAATATAGTAAAGGGTTTAAACTAAGCTAACAGTAACACACTCCCTTAAACCCCTTGCCGGGCGCCATCTCACAGAATAAGTCAAGGGTTTAAAAACTAGCAAACGGGTTAACCAACCACAAATTTAAAACCCTGCCAGCAGCCATCTCACAGAATATAGTCAATGGTTAACACACCCCACTGCCACAGCTGACTGACTGGCGCTCAGAAGTCTACCTCAGTCTACAGTCAATTAGGTAAATCTAACTATCAAGCAGGGTCGGGACTGAAGCAAGAGAAAAAGTCTGATGACTAACTCAGTCACTTATAATAATGTTTCCTAATGTATCAATATCAGAATAGCATTAATACATGTAGTATATTAACATTTATTTAAATCCAGTTGCAGAATGAGTATAAATAACATTTTAGATTCAACAATATTGACAAAGTTTGGCCAAGAAAAATGTTTTCTTGACATGTGTGCCAGGACCACTACATATCATTATCCTAGAAGTGATTCTAGTACAGAGGGGGATCCTCCATATTTGTAGACATGTAGGGAAGGTCACTGTCTCCATTTTAACATAAATAATGTATCATAATAAAGAATTGTTGTACAACAAAACATTTTGGGGTAATTTTTTTTGTTGAGCAATTAAATAATTATTAGGCTGTTATCCTAAAATAAAAGCACATTTCAATGCATTTGACTTGCACCTTGCATTCACACAATTCCACGAGAAATATCTAATGTTATTAAACCTCAGCCAGAAGGAATAGGTGTGTCCCACGAGGCAACGTGTTCTCTAGAAAGCCATATAGGGTTAGGGCCATATAGGCCCTTGTCAAAAGTGGCGCACTACATAGGGAATAGGACGCCATACAATACACTACAAAACAAATGTCCTCTGATTGGATTTCCTGTTACTGGTAGAGTAGAACTGGTACTGTTCCTCTCCTGTTACTGGTAGAGTAGAACTGGTTCTGTTCCTCTCCTGTTACTGGTAGAGTAGAACTGGTTCTGTTCCTCTCCTGTTAATGGTAGAGTAGAACTGGTACTGTTCCTCTCCTGTTACTGGTAGAGTAGAACTGGTTCTGTTCCTCTCCTGTTACTGGTAGAGTAGAACTGGTACTGTTCCTCTCCTGTTACTGGTAGAGTAGAACTGGTACTGTTCCTCTCCTGTTACTGGTAGAGTAGAACTGGTTCTGTTCCTCTCCTGTTACTGGTAGAGTAGAACTGGTTCTGTTGCTCTCCTGTTACTGGTAGTGTAGAACTGGTTCTGTTCCTCTCCTGTTACTGGTAGAGTAGAACTGGTACTGTAATGTAGCTCTCCTGTTACTGGTAGAGTAGAACTGGTTCTGTTCCTCTCCTGTTACTGGTAGAGTAGAACTGGTTCTGTTCCTCTCCTGTTACTGGTAGAGTAGAACTGGTTCTGTTCCTCTCCTGTTACTGGTAGAGTAGAACTGGTACTATTCCTCTCCTGTTACTGGTAGAGTAGAACTGGTACTGTTGCTCTCCTGTTACTGGTAGAGTAGAACTGGTTCTGTTCCTCTCCTGTTACTGGTAGAGTAGAACTGGTTCTGTTCCTCTCCTGTTACTGGTAGAGTAGAACTGGTACTATTCCTCTCCTGTTACTGGTAGAGTAGAACTGGTTCTGTTCCTCTCCTGTTACTGGTAGAGTAGAACTGGTTCTGTTCCTCTCCTGTTACTGGTAGAGTAGAACTGGTACTGTTCCTCTCCTGTTACTGGTAGAGTAGAACTGGTACTGTTCCTCTCCTGTTACTGGTAGAGTAGAACTGGTACTGTTCCTCTCCTGTTACTGGTACTGTTCCTCTCCTGTTACTGGTAGAGTAGAACTGGTTCTGTTCCTCTCCTGTTACTGGTAGAGCTCTGAGTCAGTCAGGGAGAGGCCCTGCTGTGAGGATGACGTCGTCGCAGGCTGCATGACATGCTCCACCATACTGTGTCCTCCATGTTGACCCAGCATCAGAGAGGAGGAGTTGAACTGGAATGGAGTGCAGTCAATGTTACCAGCCCCAGTCTCACAGTGAGTTCGGTTGTACAGAAAACTGTTATTGTACTGAGATTGAGAGACGGCAGCACTGTTCCTCTGCTGAGTCTGAGCGGGGCCTGTGGTTTCGTGCTGTGTGTGGTGGCTAATCTGGCTATGATTCCCCAGCCCACTGTTCCCCTGGCCCAGACCCTGGCTAGCCTGACGGTGTTGTGTCTGGGTCATCTGGGTCAGTAGGCAGGCCTGCAGCTTCCTCTTGGCTCTCCAGCGGGCCACTCTGAGCCGGGTCTTCTCCCGTCTCTCCTTCACCAGGTCAGCTAATAGAGGCTGGGGAAGATTCTTCTCCATCTCCCTCCGACGGTTCTGGCTCCTCCGCCTCTGCTCAGTTCGTCTCATTTTAAACTCCTCGTACAGACTCAGGTCCTTGGGCCACGGACGCACCATCGGCCTGGGAGCAACTCCTCCTGACATGGACTTCACTGGCTGGGACAGCCCATCTGAGAATGAAGAGGACAGAACAACAAGTCATTGGGTCAGGTGTGTAATATGTAGCCTGGTTCCAGATCTGTTTGTGCTGTCTGGCCAAGTCCTCTGGTAGAACGATCATAGGACTTGGCTATACAGCACAAACAGATCAGGGACCAAGCTATGTAACAACCTATTGAACTGACACACAGAAACAACAACACAGCAGATCTGTACTCTACTCACATGTACAAGGGCTGGCTGAGGTGAACGCTGTGTGCTCTGCTAAGGTCATCTGGCTCTGTGAGGGACGGGAAGCTGTCCTGTCTCTCTGGCCCTGTGAGGGTACTGTCCTGTCTCTCTGGCCCTGTGAGGGTACTGTCCTGTGACAGTCCAGGAGATTCCCCTGAGTGTGCCTGTCTAAAAGGTTGCCCTGGGAGTTGAGGACCTCAGAAGCCAGGTTGAACAGCAGACTCTCAACCTCCTCAGGTTCCTGCTTGATACAGATGATCTCCACCTCCGCCTCCTCCTCTTTCACCTGGAGCTGAGGCTGGGACAGGAACTGGGAGGGTGACTGGGCACTCCCGGCAGCCGTGGTGGCAAAGCAATCTGCTCCGTCAGTCCTGAGCGGGGAGAGGACCAGCTGGTTCCCAGAGTCTGTGCTGGTCTCTGGTGGCTGTGTACTGATGGTCCACTCAGCCTCACACTCTTCTTCCTCCTCCCTCCTCTGGCTCTCATCAGACACCTCTGGTTCTAGAGAGGTAACATGTATGTCAACCAACACAGGGGGAATATAGAGGGCTGTACTAGGTGTCAGTCAATAGGGCTGTACTAGGTGTCAGTCAATAGGGCTGTACTAGGTGTCAGTCAATAGGGCTGTACTAGGTGTCAGTCAATAGGGCTGTACTAGGTGTCAGTCAATAGGGCTGTACTAGGTGTCAGTCAATAGGGCTGTACTAGGTGTCAGTCAATAGGGCTGTACTAGGTGTCAGTCAATAGGGCTGGACTAGGTTTCAGTCTCACAAGTTCTGGTGTCAGTCAATAGGGCTGGACTAGGTTTCAGTCAATAGGGCTGGACTAAGTGTCAGTCAATAGGGCTGTACTAGGTGTCAGTCAATAGGGCTGGACTAGGTGTCAGTCAATAGCGCTGGACTAGGTGTCAGTCAATAGCGCTGGACTAGGTGTCAGTAAATAGGGCTGGACTAGGTGTCAGTCAATAGGGCTGGACTAGGTGTCAGTCAATAGGGCTGGACTAGGTTTTAGTCAGGCCATCAATTTACACACACTCAAGCAAACACAAAACAATACCCATGCATTCTCAAACAAGGCATATGTTATTTTACCTTTCAAAGGTTCCAGGTGCTCTGATGAACTATTCATTGCAGAGACAGTGGTGATCAATGATGGGTCCTCCAGAACTTGTGAGACCATGGCAGTCAGGTCATCATGGCTGTCAAACGACGATGTGGCCCTGATCATATTCTCAGAAGGTTGGGAGGATCTGGCCAAGTTATCAGAGGGTAGGGTGACAGTGATTTCATTCCTTGGCAGTACGTTTCCATTTGTAATGGACATTTGGGTGTTGTTCGTAACTGTCCTTCTCTGTGGTTGTGGTAAACCCGAGGACTGTGCTGCCTCGGATGCAGCCGCTGAGGAACCGTGAGCTCTGTGCGGATCCGAATGGCCGAATGCTGTCCTCTGGTTGGTCTGCTGCCTGGCACCCAGAGCGTTCATGTACTTCCGCATTGTCTTTATCTGACATCGGGAAATCTCCAGCATCTGTCTGAAGCGCTCGGTCTCTTTTTCTTTTGCTGCGACCTCCCTCTTCAGCTCGTCGAATTTAATACCGACCACCTTCAGCATCTCCCCCAACACCGTCTCAACAGCGGCACTCACGGCTCTCTCTATCACGGTACCCATCTGGCCCTGCATAAGGGAAACTGATAGACTGATATCCATTTTTAAAAACTTTGATAACAATCTTTTAATTTCTTAATAACATCGGAGGTCAAATATCATAGTCAGTCGTCCTCCGTGAACTGTTTAGTTAGCGACTGATTGTTGCTAACATCGATAGCTAGCTAGCTACCCACGTAGCAAGCAGACATCATCATGCTCCAGAGAGCTAACTAAACAGGACAATTGGATCGTTTGTCATTGTTTGCAAAGTAATTCAACAAGAAAAAGTGTCTAGCTCATTTCGAAACCAAAATGAGCCGGTGAAACTAATACAATTTAAACTTTTCCTGCTTCTTCGGACAAATGTAAACAAAGATGTTCTTCCTTTCGTCTTTCCTGTGTTTCATCAAACGCATCCGACATGGCCGCTGGTTTGGTGGTTAAAGTTCCGGGTACTTCTTCTTCTTCTTTGATGAGGTTTAACGGCTGTTGGCAGCCAATAAATGTTTCATTACCGCCACCCACTAAACTGGAGTTTAACTCCCTTCTACTTTGCTTAAAAAAAGTACAAAATTAAACAAATACCCTACCATCTAATACTACAGTCACAAAAAAAATAAAAATAAATCAAACATTATGATAATAATAACTACCATACCCCACTATTTCAATCTATTTATTCCTACTTCAGGCCAACAGCCTGAAAGGATGGGACACCACCACTCAACACACCCTGTAACTCTACTGCTGTCAAGTCTCGCACACCCAAATACCTCTCTGCAGCTGCCACCACAACATCAATTTTCTGCGACTTACGTTCCATCCCTGCAGTACAGTTGATAACGATTGCTATAAATGCCAAAAATCCAATCTTACTGAAACATATATCACTTGTTGGTTCGTCCCTCTGTACATCTCTACTACTCACACCACTCCTCTCAGGATCTCTCCCCCTTGACCCATCTTCCTCTACTTTCTTCACTGCCTCAGCATATGACAACTTCTGCACTGCTCTAACCCTGGAAACCTCAACCTGCCTCTCTCGAGTGTGTGGACAGGTGTCTTTTATACAGGTAACGAGTTCAAACAGGTGCAGTTAATAAAGGTAATGAGTGGAGAACAGGAGGGCTTCTTAAAGAAAAACTAACAGGTCTGTGAGAGCCTGAATTCTTACTGGTTGGTAGGTGATCAAATACTTATGTCATGCAATAAAATGCAAATTAATTACTTAAAAATCATACAATGTGATTTTCTGGATTTTTGTTTTAGATTCCGTCTCTCACAGTTGAAGTGTACTTATGATAAAGATTACAGACCTCTACATGCTTTGTAAGTAGGAAAACCTGCAAAATCGGCAGTGTATCAAATACTTGTTCTCCCCGCTGTATATCATCAATTAGACTATTTATGCCTGTATTGCATTAGGGAAGACATCAACAGCTATTGTTTCAATTCAACCCAGAGTCCAACAAAAAATAGACACGTTTTCGTTGATTTCAAATTGAATCTTCAAGTTAATAATTCATATGTTGGATTCACGTCTCCATCTCAACCAAACATCTACGTTAAAGAATAGGACTAAATAAAATCAAACTTTATTTAAAGTGCATTTAAAGTTTGATTTGATTTGATGTAGTCCTAATCTTTAACTTCCATTTTTGGTTGAGATGGAGACGTGAATCCAACGTATCAATCCTTAGTTTGTAGACAAACTGGATGTTAAATTGTCTTTGGTTGTCAACGCAACCAAATATCAACATTTGAAGGAGATGTATCTTCTGCTTGGATAGTTCCATCTGTGCCACTGACTTAGTCTGGCTTTAATTCCAGTTTGTCTACAAATTAATAATTGATTTGTTGGATTCACGTCTCCATCTCAACTAAAAATCGAAGTTAAAGATTAGGACTAAATCAAACTTTAAATGTGGTCCTATTCTTTAACTTAGATATTTGGTTGCGTTGACAACTAAGCACAAATCAATATTACTTTTGTAAAACAGTAAATAGCCTAAAGTTGAGGCTATCTTACAAATGAATGTAACGGTGTTTTAATCAACCTTGAAATGAGTAACATCCATGACAACATTTACTGTATCTATAAGTGTCTTCTTATGTCATCATAGAAAGAGGTGCGTGTTCAAGATAGCTTGCAAATGTCTCAGGTCTGTGGAGATCTTCACCATTGATATAATAATCTGTGCAGAATCTCCAACAGCATGTATCACGTGCACTATGTACTTTAAACATAATCTCAACTCTAATCCAGGTCATTTGGTTGTGCTATTGTATGAAGCACAGTGGAAACACATAAATGTGTTGTATAAATACATAATATCTGACAATTGTATTCCCATTTGAACTTGGTTGTGATTTTAAATGGTTGAAAGCATCGTGATAACACATTTGGAATTCAACAGACTTCTGGCTGTTTTTTTTTTAAGTGGGTGAAAATAGGTTGAAATCTCATTGATCAACATCTCAACCAAATATTACCCAAATGTCCAAGTTGAAATGACGTGGTGTGCCCGGTGGGTGAAAAAGGTATGCTGTGCAAATTATGGATTTATTAAGCTTAATACAGTGTTGTTTGTTAAAATTAGAATTTTGAAGTTGCATTTTGTCACATAGAGTTATAGTTTTAAGAGTAATTGGCTTTAAAGCATGGTAATATATTTAGCTCTCAGTGTAAGTAGGTAGGCCTATAACCCTGATACATGACTGTTGATTCCTATACGGCTTTAGACACGTTTATCAACACCTGTAGGCATAATGTTACTGCTGTTTTCCGATGCGTGCAGACGTGACGTTGTGGTGATGCTGTGGCCGGTTTGATGATGAAAGAACCAGCAACTGTGTCAGATATCTGAGTGACTCACAGCAGGTCGTTTTCCGCTGACTGGGAAAGTTTTGAGATGGAAACAAAGATAGATCACCTCAGTGTGATGTTGTTGACAAGGTGGAGTAGTGAGGAGGATCTCAAAGATAGATGTTACCTCTTGATGTTGAAGAAATGTTAACTGATTTAGACATACAGTTGTAAAATCATAGTAGTCACAAACCACAGTTGGGTCTCCTGCTACTGTCCTTCTTCCACTGGTATACTGTTATGTTCAGCTCATAGGGTCTCCTGCTACTGTCCTTCTTCCACTTCCTGTTATGTTCAGCTCATAGGATCTCCTGCTACTGTCCTCCTTCCACTTCCTGTTATGTTCAGCTCATAGCTGTTTTCTTTCTCTTTCTGTCATCTGGTGGTCAAAGCAAGACTGTGAAAACAGTCAGGACAACACAACGGGCACGCCGCGAGAGACAGAGGCGAAAGGGAAGGGAAAAAAGAGTAGAGAGACACGCGAGCAGAGAGAGCCGAGAGAAAGGGAAGGGAAAAAGAAGAGAGAGAGTGAAGAGAGAGAAAGGGAAGGGGCAAAAAGAAAGAAAGAGAGAGCCGAAAGAGAGACGAGAAAGAGAGAAAGAAAGGGAATGGGGGAATAAAGGAAAGAGAGGGGAAAAGAGAAGAGAGACGGGGAAAAAGAGAGAGAAGGGAAAGGAAAGGGGGAAAAGGGGAAAAAAAAAAAAGGGGAAAAAAACCCCCGTTTTTTTTTTATTTCCTATTTTTTTCCCTTTTTCCCCCTCGCCCCCCCCCCCCCCCCTTTTCTTCTCTTTTCCTCCCTCTTCTCTCTCTCTCTCTTCTTTTCTCCTCTTTTCCCCTCTTCCCTGTCCACTGGGGGGCGCCGTTTTGGTCCCGGGCCGTACCCGCCTTTATTTTGGCCCCGTCATAGAGTCCATGATTTGGGGCGGACCAAATCTAACCCTCATTGACGTCTATGTTTTACAAGTTTTGGGCAGCATAGTTTAAAACAGTAGAACAATAGAGAGAGTAGAGATAGTAGAGTATGTGGTTAGTAGAGTATAGTAGAGTAGAGTAGGGAGAGTAGAGTAGAGTAGAGTAGAGTAGAGTAGAGTAGAGTAGAGTAGAGTAGAGTAGAGTAGAGCAGAGGAGAGGAGAGTAGAGGACTCTATCTACTCTACTCTACTCTACTCTCCTCCTCTGCTTCTACTCTACTTTACTCTACTCTACTCTACTTTACTCTACTCTATTCTATCGATCACTTATAACGTACTCTGCTCTATCTAAGCTATGACTAGACTACAGCCTCAGATCGATGATGGTACAGTACGTACTATAGATGATTGACTTAGTACTACTGATACTATACCTCTCTACTCTACTCTACCGCCTCTCTCTGCTCTATCACTTTAACTACTCTACTTACTTGACTCTGACTCTATTCACTCTACGTAGGACTTAGGAGGTGACTGCCGCACGAAAGGCGAAGAGAGAAGGAGCCGCGCAGGAGGGAGCGAGAGAGGAGACGAGGACGGGACGAGGAGGAGGCGACGCGACGCGGACGCGACGGGACGCGCGAGACGCGAGCGCGACGCGACGGACGCGACGGACGGACGCGCCGAGCGGACGACGCAGAGACGCACGCGAGGAAGAGACGCGAGCGGACGACGAAACGAAGCGAGGGACGGAGGAGGGAGAGGACGGAGACGGACAGAGCGCGAGCGACGCGACGGAGGAGAGAAGCGACGAGAGCGAGAGACGGCGAGAGCGCGAGAGACGGACGAGAACGCAGAAGAGCGACGCGACGCAGGGAAACGCGACGGACGACAGCGACGCGACGCGACGCGAAGCGACGGACGCGACGCTGCCGCGACGGACGGACGGGGACGCGAACGAGACGCGACGGACGCGAGCGAGGCCGACGCGACGGGACGCGACGCGACGGAGACGACGCGAGGACGAACGACGCGACGCGCGCAGCGACACGGGACGCGACGCAACGCGACGAGCAGCAAGGGCGCGACCGACCGCCGCAGTCGCGACCGACGAGAGACGAGGACACGAGAAGAGACACGAGCGACGCGACGAGACGAGACGCGACGAGACGCGACGCGCGAGCGACGGGACGAGCGGACGCGCCGCGAGCGATAACGCGACGCGAGCGACGACGGAGGCGACGCGACGCGAGGACGGACGCGACGGACGCGGACGCGTACGCGACGGACGCGACGCGACGGACGCGGAGCGACGGACGGAGGCGCGACGACGCGACGCGACGCGAGCACGGGCACTACGCCGCGACCGACGCGAGCGGACGCGACGCGACGCGAGCTAGACGTACCGACCACTCGACGACTTACGCTATACCACGATAGTCGACTAGACGTACAGACGCGACCGTACTCGACTCGACTCCGTACTCTACTATACTTATACTCTACTCTACTACTCTACTCACTTCCTCTACTATACTCTACTAATTTACTCTACTCTACTCTACTCTACTCTACTTACTTACTCTACTCTACTCTACTCTACTATACTCTACTATACTCTACTATACTCTAGTCTGCTGTACTGTACTGTACT